TCCCCAGAGATATTCAAATGGTAAACCAGGGCATCTGTGGGATTGTCACTGTCATCCTAGAGTCTAACATTGAGAAATCTCAGCTGGATTCCCTCTGGATTCAGACACTGGAATTCCCACTGTTTTTCTTTACTTTCATGGGAATTCCTCCTCATTAAATGCCTGATTGTGAGCATCAAACAGCAAATATCTTTTGTTACCAAATCCTACATATGGTTTGTGGGTCCCTCATAAATTGAAGGTAGTCAATGAGAATATGGAGTTGTATTATTAAAAAGAAAAGAAATCTCTCTTTTTTTTTTTCTTGAACAAGATTTTCTGGTTGGCCAGTCTTCTTTATGGCTCCTGAGCTGTCCTAGACCCACTGTGCTTTTCCTTGTCAAATCCTGTGCTGGCAAAGAACCCTGTTATGTCAGTTTAGCAAGAACATCCCATTCTCCAATATCTGATCATCCTTCATTTCTGATCAGCGTCCTCATCCTCTATCATTCTTGGGTGATATCTGCCCACTCTGGTCTATCTCCAACAAGAATCCTGTTAGTTTAGCCAGACTCACCCTCAACCCTGATATTTCTTCTTAATCATGTTCTATACACATTGTCCCATGCTGCTTGGCTATGAATTCCAACTTGCTTTCATGATTTTTGGAGTTGAGTAAAGTCTCTCCCTGTCCTCTGCCGCAGCCTAAGACCCTATTGCAATAGTCTCTATACCTATTATGATGGTCCTGGATAAAGTATCTTCCCATGCTTTAATAAGTATTTTTAGATCATTGTTTCTCTAATACTGCAAGCCAAGGAACACTAATGATGGCTAGCAAGCCACTAAGCTGAAAGAAGCAAGAAAGGATCCTTCCCAACAGCTTTCAGAGGAAAAATGACCCTGCTAACACCTTGATTTAAGAATTCTAGCCTCCAGAACAATGAGATAGTACATTTCTATTTAAAGTCACACAAAGTTTCAGTACTTTGTTATGGAAGCTCTAGGAAATGCAGATACTGGCTGTCTCTGTACTAAAGATGCCCTTTGTTTCTCCCAATGTACTTTGCTAATCACATCAATATTGAGGAGGCTATTCTGAATTTGAAGAAGAGGAGGAAATGTGGAGAAATATGGATTTTGATCAGGGGGAGTGGACAAGGAAACTGGGCATGACATTTGGAGGGTTTAGTTGAAAGACCTCAGGGGAGGTGTGGCTCAGATAAGATCAGGATATGTGATTGGGAGTGACCTGACTTGATTGTGAGCAACTAATCCCCTTATTCTGAGTCCATGCCCTTCATTGCATACCATAGGGACATTGCAGTCTGAGAGCCTTGTCCTCACCCCAAGGAGGAGTATCAGATGCAAGTCCAGAAGCTAAATTCTTCTTCCACAGGCATCAGAGTCAAAAATCCCCAAGTGTCTGGGGCATTTGCCCCCTTCTCTATAGCCCCTCTGTTCAACTATTTATCTGAGAGAATCCTCAGCACATTTTAGTCCTTTTTTTGCTGGGGTGGGAAAGAGAGGTCTATCCAGTAGCACAAGAAAGGGAGAGCAATGGCAGGGGGATAAAGGCTGCTATCCAGGCTGCAAGGTTGGCCCCTCTGCCCTCCATGAGTGGGGCTGGGTCTTGATTGAATGTGTGAATAATAAAAAGAACTATATTACTTTATTTTCATAATTTTTCTTAAAGGTGAAGGTAGTGGTTTTTTTTCCATTTTTTATTTTGCATAGAAGGATAGTGAGGATAAGATTCCCCTGCAAAAGAGGGGTGCATTCCTTCTTTAACTGACACCCCAAATTAACACACACATACACATACACAAACAAATGTATGTGCATAGGTGTGCAGACACACATTCATACACACAGCCTTGCAACCTTCCCCACCAACAGATACTCATGCTTATTATGTACACACCCATGCACCTGAGCATGCATGTATAACACACACACACAGCACATGTGAACACATGTATACTTATCTGGCTGGCTTTCACCTCTGTGGCTATAGCATTAGAGGAAACCAGGAGAAGAGCCAGGAAAAGCCAAGGGAGGAGTCTGGTAGCAGAAGAGTGGTCTCACTTCCTAAGAGTTCCCTTTCCCTAATCCGACTCTGCCTCAAATCCTAGATTTCTCTCTGGGCTCAGCAATTGATTTTCCAATAATTTAACCAGAGTGATTCCAGGCTTATCCTTTTTCAGGTATTGATTTCACAGAGACCTGAGCTTAGAATATGAGTTCCCTTAGGTGCTCCTGGGTCCTTCTCCTTTCAGTCATAAAAGAGGAATGAGGTTCACAGTTTGGGCTCTGGATTTATTTGAAGACAAAATTTCTTAGGAGAACTACCAACTAACCAACCAAACCAACCAACAAAATGAGGGGATCAGTGTGGGGAGAAAACACAGGTGAATATCCCCTGAACTGCATTTTTCTTCCTTACACATATCTAGAGATGCAAGTGGAGGATTTGTTTGATTAGCTATTTCTGGTTTCTTTACACACGGGGGAATGTGAGGGTTGAGTAGACTTCCTCTGAAGAGATGGGAAGTAGAAGTGGCCACATGTGTCCAGTAGCTAAGATGTGCCTTTATCACTAATGGCTTCCTCTTGTTGCAAACGTAAAGACCAAGGCCTACCCAAATCCAGTTCAGGTGGAGCTCTGAAGGTTCACTTTCTGTGTAAAGCCTCACCCAAACTCCCTGCAAACACAGGGAGTTCTCATGTGTCAAGATCCATTATGTTGGTGTGGGTATGTGTGAGGGTACCAGAAATGGAAACCAGGGCCTTATACATGCTAAACAAGCACTCAACCACTAAGCTACATCCCCAGCCTATCCATTTCTATTGATGATGGACAAACTGTAAACTCTGTCTTCTGCTCTGTCACTGAGGGAACTGGTCAGTTCAAGGTATAAACAGTGGGACTGTCCACATTTACCACATCTCATCCCTTTTCTTCAATTCCTTCTTCCCCAAAGGTATCTGTATCTTGTGGCTAGGTAAAGGTCTCTGGAGTTTTTGTAACCCTGGTAGTCTTGACAGAGCCCCCCTTTCTCTGATGGCCACTGTGGAGTGCCTAGTCTCTCCTAATTCCCTGAGTAGGTTTTTGGCACCATGGCCAATGAATGGACTCTACATTTCCCCCTTTGTGGGCCTGTTAAGCACCCATAGACCATAGGGAAGTGAGAACAATTTGGAGGGTCATATCATGTCATCTGTGTAGACCCTCCACCCTACTGGGATCCCTAGGAAAGGAAATGCTCCCATGGGTGGTTTCTGGTTTCCCTCCCTCTGAGTTCCTTCCCAGGGCCTGGGCCAAGCTGACAATGCTTTTCCTGAAGATCTCCCCTGGGTGTCCCAGGGCCTCCCTACACCTGGTGGGGCAGGGCACTCTTCTTAGGCTGAGTATTCAGCTTGATATGCAGAAAAATCCTTTCCCCTTTCAGCAGGAAGCCTAGTTTTCAAGACTGTTATCCAAAAATAAAATTTGGAGCTCAAACTGGACACTTGTCTCTTGAGGCAGTTAAAATCTTCCCCAACACAGTGGATGTGACAATACAGAGATCAGGCAGCTGTGGACAAAGCTGACTAGGGCAAGGAGTGTGACTGGTCCCTGGGCTATGCCACCCAAGATACAGGCCCTGACCAAATTCAGACTCAGGGAGGTGAGAGGTCTGATTCTCTGGGTTGGCTCTTCCTGTAGCAGATGGAGAATGTGATGTGTAGGGTATGTTTAATGGAGGCTCCTTGTCCCACTGAGGAAACAGATTCCTTTTGGTGGTAGAGGTCTCCTTTGGCCCCACAAAGGGCTCCTGGCTGCATCTCCTGTCTTGTATATTTAAGTGAGGTTTGTGGGGGAAGTACCCATTCACTGTAGCTGCTGGAAGGCCCTGGGCATCATGCTGTCAGGAGTTAGCTTTGTCCTCAGCGCCAGTCACTTCTGTACCTTGGTTCAGGCTGCTGTGAGCATGGGGCCCAGGGATAGGGAATGACTAATGGGCCTGGAGGGATTCAGATCCTCTGCTGATGCCAGGTTGGTACATGGGAGCAAGATAGACCATCCTGGGCATAGGTGTTTCTTGGTCTTTTCATGTGGATGGCAGGAGAGCTTCCTGAGGAGGAGGAGAAAAGTTGGGCCTGCAAAGGACAAGGCTACTTTCCCCAGAGTGAGGGGTGAGTTATGAACCCAATGCCTGAGAAGTTCCGTCTTCCTTGTGCTTGTTCCACACCTAGTCAGGGGTCCACAGAGCCAGTCTGAAGCTGACCAGGACTGGGTCAATAGCCACCAAGAAGCCTCAGAGTTCACCATCTGGGAGACCAACACAGTGTTCATTTAGGACCTGGAACACCCTTGGCAATTCTTTAGCTTAGAGGAGGAGGAAGGAGCTGGTCTTGGCCTCTTGAGTTCCCTGTCTAAGCCCCAGTGGGGAGGGATGTCCATCCTCAGCATTTAGAAAATAAGCCTTGTCTTTCCCCCTTTCCCTTTCAGGCTTTGTCCCAGGCCTCCCTGAGAAGTGTGTGCATACCACCTACCTGCCATATGATTACTTCTTTAGAGGGCCAGCCTGGGCTCAGCAGACACAGGTGAGCACCTTGACCAGGTGGAACATTCTGTTTTGTGCCTGCATGAGGTACCTTCCATTTGAGATGAAAAGGGACATCTTGGTTGTTCTAAACTGTGAATGCTGGGGAGAGGCTGCTGGGAGAGATGTTAGGGTAGGGTTTGTCCAGTCCTGGACTTTTTGTTCACCAGAACTTTGGGGATTAGTTTTCCAACATATGCAATTTAGTGGGCAAACCTCCAAACCATAGCAGAATAAGGCACAGGATAATAGATCTATTTTAGCTTGAATGTCTGAAATTATGATGGGGAATAATCAGAAGAATGCAAGAACAGAAAAGATAGAGTTGTCGTAAATTTATGTGACATATAAATTTTATGTGTTTCCAATTACTTTCCCTTTTTAAAGTCTTTGTTCTAAGGATTTTCTGATTAAATCCATAAGTTTCCATTTTCAAGCATTTCCTTGTTCAGATTCTAAAAAGTAAAAAAATATGCAGAAATATTAAAGAAAATATTTGACCTACTAAAAGAACATTTTTATATTCAATTATAAATATAGAAATTTAATAACCCGATCATTTAAATGATAGGTTTGTCCTCAGTTTTTATGTATTTTAAAACAGAAAACTAAAGGTGACAGAAATTTTGACATAGTACAATATTGTCAAAGTTGGACCCTGTTAATCAGCCTAAGAGAAGGTATTATAGATTGCATCTCTCATGCTATATGGATAATTAGAGAGACACATTTCTGAGCCTTAATTATATATATATATTCAGAAATATCCTAGATAGGTGTGGGTGAATACTTGGAAGAGAATGTAAACTAAATAATAGACATTTTAGTTTTTATATGTGGCAAATTCTTGAACTTATCTAGAAGCAATCATTTTAGAAACCAGTAATTATATTTTACTTGAACTTTTTAATTGAGAATTTCTATAATATGTATGGTTTAGTTCAATTCATAAAGATACATAGGATTTTATAATATGGAAATGACACACTCATCTTAAGCAGCAGCCTTATGTGGAGAATTGAGGCACCTATTCATTTTCTTTAAATTGGCATTAGGTTTTACTATTTATACTGTACCAGCACTGCAAGGGACACTGTATTCTTCAATAGTGTATTCATCTGAAACACAAAAATGATCCTACAATAAGCAATTAATTAACAATTAACAAACCTATAAGCTAAGTAAATAGACATAAAATATACCCACAGAACCAATGAAAACAATTCTGTACTAAGCTGTTTGGGATTGGGGAAAGAGACCAAGAGAACTAAGCTCTTGGGCACAGAACTGAGGGCTGGTGATATGGATGGTGTGCTTGTGTGCCACTACAGCACTGGGGACAGTCAATTCCCACAGATGCGTCTTCCCCAGTGGAATTATGCCTTCCTCTATGAACCTGTCTTAAACTAAAAAGGAGATAAGTCTTAACAGTAGCAGCATGTTCTGGTGCTGGTAAATCTTGACTTTAAAGTTATGAGGAAATGGAAGAATTTCTTAATGTATTACAAAATTCCCCAAATTGTGTGAGACTGTCCAAAGCAAACCAAAACATTCAATTTTAGATCTTATTTTATACATCAATATTGAGATGTAGTTTTTAAGTTATTGCTACTTTTCTTATCTTTCTAGAATAATTTGGTCCAAGACAGCAACTTTAGAGGGAAGTGTAGAGAGAACTGATTATCTCTACTTTATGATCAGTTTATAATAATGACTCAAAAACTTACTTATGGAGCAAATATGAGGTTAATATACAGGGACATGATTTTTTAGTGACCAAAACTTGCCTTTTCTTCCAGTGAAATATCTTGGAGTTTCATATCAGTTAATGCAACTGTTTATGGTGTTAGTTTTTTGTATCAAAGCTCAGCATATGTAAATCTCACTCACCTGTCTCATAATAATCATAGGCTTTTACTATAGCTGGTTTTAAATTCTTTACTTGCATGTCTTGTTCCACCAAGAAGGAGAAACTCAGGGCTTGATTGGTTAGCTGGAGAGAGGAGAAATGAATTGGGATCAAAGATTAGCTTTTTTACTGGTTAACATCTCCTTTTCTTAAAATATTATCAAATACCATAACTGTACTTTATATCCCTATCAAAACCTAAGAGAGAATGGGGGAATTTTGTGACTTTCTTAACATACCCAATGACAAAAAAAAGGACAAAATTTCTGTGGGCAATCAAATGGAGCAAAGTGAACCTCACTGACCTGTTGTCCCATTTCCCTTTGTGACTCTTTTGTCCTTCCTCATTGTGTATGTGAAAAGCATTATTTGGAGTCTGGATAGACTTATTAAAACTTCTATTAGTTTTACAGACCTAGCAGAGTCTTATGAAGTCTTACCTTCCTAAGGTAGATTAGGACATGATTGGTGCTCACTTCAGTCCTTTGAATCTCAGGCTGTTCTTGAAGCTATGGACAAAGGGGATAAGCCAGAAACATGGAGTGAAGAAATTCTATACCGAGAGCAGTTTTTAGGTATTTATCATCAAAATGAGTTCTCTGAAGCATTCAAATTACTACTTTTTATTTCTTCAGGAATAACAATAATGATAATATTTATTGATCCTATTACTCTCATATATTGATCCTATTACTCTCATACATATGATATACCTATAGGATATAAATGTATATTCGATATATATGTGATAGTTATACATACACTTATATACCCTCTTTTTTTCTTTTTGTGTAGTTGGAAGGTAACTCAGTATCTCTGCACATACCTAGATGTCTAAGCCTTCTAGAACATTATTTATCATGTTTATGACTTTTACCTTAACTGACATCATATAATCTTCTGACCTACACTAAAACTGTGGGAATATACTTTAGAGAGGCAAGATCCAGGACATTAGTAAAATCAAATTGACAGTGTAAATATCACATTTTATTATGGGATTGCTATCTGTAAGACATTTTGGATTTACCTTTTTCACTGATGGTTTCACAGGTATGAAACCTGATATCATCTTCACATCCACAATAACCATGTTGGAGTTGGGTCTTTCACCAGCATAACTATGAAGTAAGGCAGAGTGATAAACCTTCAAATAAAATTCCTTGGAATTGATTGAAGATAGAAGTCTCACCTTGTTTATTTGTACCACTCAGTTTCTCTACCTACTGTATCTGTGTTATTGTTCTTTGAAAAACCCACCCTTGTCAATTCTACTCTTCAGTTAGGGCAATATATTATTGAGGTTAAGGCTTTTCAGTAAGGGTGAAGAAAATTATCTTATAAATAAATACTACAAGACTTCCATACTCATTACATAATTAATTTGGACAATAGAGTTCCCCCAATACAAGGAAAGAAAAGTTTTCATATTCTACAAAAAAGTCTAGTTGTGATTTAGGGTTTACCTAATGTTGATATGAATCTGGAATTTCCTGTGAGCATCTACTCCATCACAATTTTTGGGATGAGAATCAACGTGCAGAGTGAAGGGATCTTTCCCTTCTTTCTTGGGAAGGATGTTATATCTTAGTGAAGTCTTTAAAAAAAAAAAAAAGGGAAATACTTCATCTTTGCACACAAAAAAATTTAACAATCACTTTCAAATAATTCATTTCTATTGTTAGCACACATTTCCTATTTTAACATTCAGAATTTACCCTTGAGACTTTCTCTCCCATTTGCAGCATCCCTTACACCATGGCAGTCTCACCTGGAGGTACACACATCCTGACCCCAACACTGTGGTGTCGTAATCCTCTGGAATCTCAGGCAGCATGACCTCCTGCAGTAGCAGGCGATTGTCATCATCTATGTGGAATTCTTCAGAGAATGTGTTAGAAGATTTGACAGTGACTGAAACTGCCTTCTTACTTTTTGTGAAAGTTGCTGCTCCATATTTGGAGAGTGCTTGGAGAGCTACCACTGTATCCTGAAAAAAAGATGGGTACAAAAATCACAGAAGAGGAGGTAGCTAAATCACACTAAATGTAAACCATATCAAATTTATACTCATTCAGGATTATTTAGTAATAAACAATTCATTAATACAATCTAAATTCAGTTCAAATCTAGATTTGAATGATGAACCATTCTAGGTACATTGGAAAAAATAAATATTTTTTTTCATTGTAGTAGCTTACAATACACATATAGCAATAAGACTCAACTATCTGACATAATAAAAGGCTATTTCAATAATTTATAAATTCATGTAGCAATATTTGTTCAAAAATTCAGAAAAGGCAGAAGAAAATGTGGGCTAGAACAGTAAAAGAAGACTGATGAATGTGAGAAATGATACCCCTGAATATTAAGGAACATTTCTGTAGACAGAGAGAAGCATCAGGGAGTGCCAGGAAGGGTTTAAGACAAGACATGGAAATGGAAGTGAGCCGATTCCAGAAAACCAAAGGGCTCTGCCTACTTGGATTTGTGCATTTATGATTACTAGGGATGGGAGATATTTGGGGTGAAACATTAAATAATTTTATCAGGATGTTCTCAAGATGAAAGAATAGAGGAGATTGCTTTCCTGGTTTCTCCGTGGAATGAAATAAAAAAAGCAGACAGGTCGCTTCTCAGCAAAATGTGTGAACAAAAAGATGTTGGAGACTTTACTGGAATTTAAAGCTTAACACTGAATGCAGATCAGGGACACAGGAGGTTGCATATAATAAAATAAGAAATCCTCAGTGGCCCAGAGAGACTGGAAGCACCAGCCAGAGAGTTCCCTCCATGAGCATAATGAAGAGGTAAGGGAATTAAAGGAACCTGTGTCTTTAGGGAAGTCTAAAGCATGTCTGGATACGGAGTGTTTAGAGATCAAGGACATTGCCCAACAAACCTGAAAGACATGCTTCACAATATCTTTGTGCAGGGAAAGAAGCTGCCATCTATCCAGGTGGCATTCTCAGGACACAGGAAGGAATAATTTTGCAGCCACTGCCCAGGGACTGGCAGCTGAGAGGGCCATTTCCTGGAAAACCCAAGTTTGGCCTGAAATATAAGCCCAGTACACACACATTGCTTGACATAGAGTGTGCTTAAGTGACCAGGTGAAAATCAGATGTGGAAAGAGGTTTACACAGGGGACATCTGGTTGTGGAAACCCACCTGGCTCTACCTCCTCTCAACTAATCCAACTGCTTGTGGGACCAGCTGGGAGAGATGCATCTGGCCAGGAACTTAGAAGGGTACAGGTGGGAGAGATTGTTTGGAGGACTGAACCTGAGACCAGGAAACTTGGGGTGCAAAGGTGACACAATAGACTAAGAATTGGTACCCACCACACTGGAAATCCCTTGGGTCCAGTCTTTCAGCATGAACCAGCAAGTACTGGGTGCTGAAGGTGCACTGATTTAAAATCTCCAAATAAATTGGCATTCAGAAAAGAGCATGGAGCCCACTTTAGCCTAAACCTCACCTCCAGGAATTCTGCCTACAGGATTACTTCTCTCACTCCAGAAATCCAGAGGGTGGAGCATCATGCCCCAGATGGTCCCACCTAAAACTGCTGAGAAGAGAAATTAAGAATCTTTTGAACCCTAATGGAAAGAAGTTTTTAACTTTTCATCAAGAAAATTTTCATCAGATCATTTCTGTTTATTGTGATAATTAACATTGTAGACATAATAGTAGGAACTATTTGGTTTAATGCTATATATTCTTTTCATTGCTTATTGTTATTATTTGTCTCCCCCTAAATAGTGAGGTACTGGAAACTTTCAGGAACACTATAATTCCACAGAGTAGAAACTCTATTGCCTCCGATCCATACTGTTAGATGGTAGAAATACAAACAATATGAAAAAGCAAGGGAACAAATGTCCCCAAACAAACCAAGGTATTCCAATAACAGAATCCATGGACACCCAAGTGGAAGAAATGCCAGAGAAGGAGTTTAGAATGTACACAGTTAACTGGTCTGCAAAGTAAAGGAATATTTAAGAAATAAAATCAGAGATAAATACAGAAAGGGAAAGGTCACTTCAATAAAGAAGCAGAGATATTGATAAAAATACAACAGGCAGAAATCCTTGAAATGAAGGAAACAATAAACCAAATTAAAAATACAATAAAAAGCATCACCAACAGTCTAGACCACTTGGAAGACAGAATCTCAGGTAATGAAGAAAAAATATATAATCTTGAAAATAGAGTTGACCATGGAGAGAAGAGAAGATGTTAAGAAACCAGGAATAGAATTTCCAAGAACTATGGGATAACATGAAAAGAACAAATTTAACATTTATCAGGATAGATGAAGACACAGAGATACAAACCAAAAGAATGCACAATCTTTTCAATGGAATAATATGAGAAAATTTCCCAAACCTAAAGAATGAAATGGAAAACAAATACAAGAGGCTTACAGGATCCTAAATGTACAAAATTAGAACAGACCAAACCAAGTGACATTATAATGAAAATGCCTAACATTAGGAATAAAGATAGAATTTTAAAGGCTGTGAGAGAAAAATATCAGATTATGTACTGGGGAAACCAATTTGGATCTCAGTTGATTTCTCAACCCAGACCCTCAAAGCTAAGAGGTCCTGGAATAATATATAACAAGCTCTGAAAAAAAAATGTATGCCAACCAAGAATCCTATAGCCAGCAAAATTAAGCTTCACATTTGATAATGAAATAAGAGCCTTCCATGACAAACAAAAGTTAAAAGAATTTGAAACTAGGAAGTCTGTACTACAGAACATTCTCAACAAAATATTTCATGGAAATTAAATGAAAAAAAAAGTGAAAACCAGCAAAGGGAGGAACTATACTAAAGGAATAGTCAATCAAAGAAGAAACTAATTAAAAACAAACCCCAAAAAACCAGGAAATAGCTCAATTAAACCCCTGAACATTAATGGCCTCAACTCATTGATCAAAAGACATAGACTGAAAGATTGGATTAAAAAACAAGACCCAACAATACACTGTCTCCAAGAGACTTACCTCATAGGCAAAGACATTCACAGACTGAAGGTGAAAGGGTGGGAAAAGACATATCATTTACATGGATCATGTAAACAAGCAGGGGTTTCTATCCTCATATCAAATAAAGTGAACTTTAATCCAAAGTTAATCAGAAGGGACAAAGAAGCCCATTCTGTACTGCTTAAGGGGAATTATACATCAACAAGACATAACAGTTGTAAATACTTATGCCTCAAATAATGGTGCATCTATGTACATCAGACAAACCCTTTTCAATTTCAAGAATCAAATAGACCACAACACATACTGGGTAACTACTGGATAACTTTAACATGCCTCTGTCACCACTGGATAGATCTTCCAAACAAAAACTAAATAAAGAAGCTATAGAAGTAAAACATATAATTGAGAATTTAGACTTAACAGACATATATAGAATATTTCATTCATTAATGACTGCATACACTTTCTTCTCAGTAACATATGAATCCTTCTCTAATACAGACCATGTTATGTATGATATCACATAGGTTGGCACACAATTTTAATGTTACCTTAATATATTTTTAACTACTATAGGGTTATTTTGATAGCTCCTTTTCCATTGAAATTGATTTTTATGTTCTTTATTTTTTCTTGATTAGACTTATTTGATTTTTATCAAATTTTAGTTATATCATTTCTTCTATATTTCATATATTTTTGCTTTTATTCTTATTTTTTCTTTCCTACTACACAACTTGAAAATAATTTGATTGTAAATTTAGCTTTCTGATACAAGTACTTTAAGTTATAAATGTTCATCTGAGTACTGTTTCATTCCACAGGTCCTGATATTTTAAGCTTTATTATCACTTAGTTCAAAGCACTTTTTATTTACTTTTCTTGTACTTTCTTTCTTGACCTCTGAGATATTTATAAATGTATCATTTAATTTTGAAATAGTTGATATGTGGGGGTAGGGTTCCAAGTATCTTTAGGTGATTGATTTCTAATGTAATAAATCATGCAGAAACACTGTCTGCATGGTTTCAAATTTTAAAAGTAATGGAAATGCTTTTTATATTGATTGTATCGGTTACATACATGTCAAAACTGATCAAATTGCATACTGCAAATATGTGCAGTTTATTTTAATTTAATTTTACCTCAATAAAGCTATGGGAAAATATTAGATAATTTTAGATTTTGGATGAAAAATAGATTTATTTTTTCAGGGAAATAATCCCATGAAAGCATTGCTTTGGGAAGATTTGACTAACCTGTGCTCTCAGGGTCTACTAGGGAGAGAAGAAATGAAAGGCTAGAAGACAGGTAGAACATTAATTCATATATAGAAGAAACAGGCTGGAATTTGTCTGATGGTGGAGGAACGGAGAAAATATAAGTTATAAATACTAACATACTTATTTAACTCTTAAAATATGGTTGTGTCATCCCATGTGTTAACTTATTTATTTTCCCTCCCATGGTCACTCCACAGACCTGAGTGGAGGCGAATCCTCCAAAGGGATTTTGTTGCTTGATGATCCATTTCACAATACGTGATGCCACAGACAGGTCCTCTGAAGATGGGGTGGGCTGGGTGGTGAGATAAGCAAGGAGAACATATGATGTCATCTCCACCTCAGCAGAAGGTGCCCGAGGTTGATAGAGTGTCTTAACTTCTTGGGGGCTCCCAGGACGTTGCCAGTGCATTGAATCCTCTTTGAAATGAAAAGGACAGAATCTTCATCTTAGAGAATGGTTTAAAATCTAATCCATAAGCAATGATTATAGTTAGTGTTCCCTGAAAAATTGATACAAATGAAGTGAAAGTCTTAAATAGTCACCATCAGGCAAATCTTTGCCAAAAAAGTAAATTAAGCTTCTAGACAATCACATGGACTCTGTGTCTATATACTTGTCTTGTATTAGAAGTTGAGTTGCATAAATTTGATACTGTATGTATTGATAAAATGGTCCATGTTTCCCAAGATTTAAGTGTTGTATAAAATTTAATTATTCATCATAATGAAAGTAGCATGATGAGTGTGAGCTCAGTAGAGGTACTCTCCCACATTTTGATCAGTAGTGATTGTTAGAAGTAAATTTTGCAGTAACAGCTCTTACCTTCTTTCACAGCCTCTCTGCCTAGGGATTCAAGCAGTTCACTCCTCCTGGCCTGTTGTCCTGCTAGGGCAAAGGCATAGGCCAATAATGCCTTGGTATACACATGAATTCCTTGGGTCTCTGAAATGGAGCCCCAGGCTGTTTCCAAGCAGAATAGAGCATTACGGACAACATTATGCTGTAAAGATGAAAGGTGATCCTTAAGTAGCAAAACCAGGCTCATGAACTGTCCCCATGCTAACCCCAGATTAAAAACGTCAATGTGTCTATGCAACATTAGAATTACCAGAGAATGAATTAGCTTCCCCTAATTATATCTTCCCCTGTAGCTTCCCAAAGGAACTAATTCTTTATATTCCAGAGAAATATACCAAAATTAAATATCATGAAAATCACAATTAATTTCCCTCAGGGAGTCATGGTTATGTGATTTTTTATTTCTTATATTCATGAAGGAGGTGTAGGGAAGGGGCTTGTACATACAGTGGCAGGCAGTGGCATCTCCAGCAGAGCAATGGTGATGTAGGCAGAGAGTGTCACCTCATCATCTACCCCACCCTGGAAGGATCAGAGGCAACAGTCTCAAACACTACAACATTCATCAGCCAGTGTCTGCTAGCTCTCTCTCATTTTGCATTTGATGTCTTCCCTAGATAGGTTTTGTTTGTTTGTTTTGCATTGTTGATTTCTCCCATTCTACCTTATATCTAAAATATCGAAGTCTGTCCCAACTCACCTTTCCTCATTTTTAATTATATACTACATTTGATTTCTTTTCCATATTTTTGATTGGTTCATTATAGTTGTACATAATGTTGGGTTTTGTTGCTACATATGCATACATGCACACACTATAATTATATAATTTGACCATATCATTCTCCAGCACTTCCTCACCTCCATTCCTTCCTCCCACCCCTTTGGTCCCTTTCCACTACTGATCTCCTTTGATTTTTCCTGAGATCCTCTCCATCTTTCTTTTCCTTTTTACTCTCTAACTTCTGCACATGAGATAAAACAAATGATCTTTGACCTTCTGAAATTGATTTATTTTTGCTTAACATTATGGTCTCTAGATTCACTCATTTTCCTGCAAATGTCATAATTTCATTTTTCTTTATGGGTGAATAAAACTCCATTGCATATATCTACCACATTTTCTTTATTCATTCATCCACTGATGGATACCTAGATATCCATCCTAGGCTGGTTCTGTAGTTTGGCTATTGTGAATTGTGCAGATATAAACATGGATAAATTCTATTTTTTTAAACCTCCATTTTCATTAAAAACTACTATGAATATATTGATAGATTTTAAAGTTAATATAATGAGGACTGAAAGACTCAACAGGAGCATCAATCCCTCCTACATATCACAATCCTCAGGAATCAGAACAAAGGGAAGGTGTCACCTTAATAGCATTGTTTAGCAGTGATCCAGAGAGTTGGAAACAGCCATTTTCCTTTTGTTTCTGTGAGAGCCAGGTGAGAGCATCTGTGATGTGTGATTTCTCCACAAAGATGTATGACTGAGCTTGAGCGAAGGACTTGAGCACAAATGCAGTGAGCCTGTCCAGCAAAAGATATGAAGATATAAAAACATCTCACCTTTGAAGCTCACTTCATTCACTGCCTGCAGATACAGACCATCACAATGCAATGGAGGAAATAATAGGAGAGAAAGGATGGGGGAAATGATACTTGAGGGTTGGGTATTCTCTAGTCTAGCAAATGTCTGGATCTCTCTTTTTTGCTCTCTCAATTTTATTGGTTTCTCTACAATTGATGCTATTCTTCACTCTTTTCTCAAGAAGGCTTTGTTGGAACCTCCAAGCCTCCCATCAACACTGAGTTTCCCAAAAGACTTCTCTTGATTTTATTCTACCTCAGTCTCTTTCCAGGCTCTCCCTCCTCTCCTTCTAATGTGCAGTGTAGAAGCTTCATCCTCTGTTCTTTTACATGATGATACTCTCTTGATTTTCTATTATTATGTATCCTCACTTTACCATTATTTGCTGTGCTATCAGAGCAGGTGAATTTTCAGAGATTAACTAGTAGGGACAATTATTAAAGGTTAACAATCTTCCATGAAAGAACTCCAGGCATCAGAGAAGCTATCTTTAGAATCCTGAAATGTCAAGGATCAGCAGAGAGCATGTGGAGATAATTATCTTACCAAGTGTTTCCCTGTCTTGTACCATCATACTCTCCAAAGGTGCTGTATGAACCATCTCTGTGCTTATAATTCAACTGCCTTTGATACCCTGAAGAGAAATTTTTCATAGATGTATGAAATAGCAGAGACATTGAAAATTTAGTGGTTTTTTTTCTTAATATTATTGAAGAATCATAGGGAAACTATTATTTTGCTAAGATGTCTCCAAGAATTGATGGTACCATTACATTTTCTTATTGGAAATCACAGCAATGACAACTATCAAACCTTAGCCAAGGAGATACTGATTTGAGTTCACCACAAGATATTTAGGAGGTCCATTAACATTTCTTCTTTTGAGGTAATCTCTTACCACTGACAAGGTAGCTGATGGCTTTGGACTTGATCTTCTCTGTCAGCTGTTGTGTCTCATTCAGATAATTCAGGACATAGATGTTAGGGACAAAAAGAACCATATTTTGTTCTCCACAACCATAGGGCATCCTTAGAAGATTCTGGAGGTTGTGCATTGCAGAGCCTAGTATATCTCCTGGTGAATGAAATTCATAAAAAAAGAAAATCAGAGGAACACAGAAATGGTTTGTGATGGCCTAGGAAAATAGAAGACTAGATAACTGAGATGCTACAGTAATTAAGGAGGGAAGAACCAGAAAGCACAAAAGGTGAGAAAGAAGAATGAAAGAAAAGCAAAAAGTGAGAAAACAGATTTTGTTTCTAGGATGTTTAAGAAAGCAGGGAAGAAACTGAATGGCAGGTGACAACACCTTTTCTGAAGGACCATGCATCTTGTAAAATGGAACTACTAACCATTTCAAAATCCACTAGGAAGCATCGCCACCTAGCAAACCACTTGAAGATGAGGGTTCAGAACTGTGACCCTCCTTACGTTTTAGACTATATCCAGGTATCCCATGTCACACAACATTCATTGAACCCCTTTTCTAACTGATACATAGTGCAATCCTTAGCTTAGTGTTCTTTTTTTTTTTATCCAATACTGAGTGTCAGTGATTTTATTAATCCTGGGTAGTGAGCCCATGCACTAGAATTGTGGAGAGAGACAGCTGTTTCTGTTGGTCTGAGAGACTCACCCAAAACTGAATATGTTGCCCTGGCAGATCCTTCAACCACATTTAAAGGAACTCTCAGTGACAGCTTTTCAGACACTCCAGTATCTAATGAAAGAAGATAAACATATAAGGGAGGGGCAAATGAGAGAAGTGTTCTGTTTTTGTTATAAATCTTTTTCTTCTACATGATCCAGATTCAACTTTTTATTTCTCTCACACATGATATCATATTTTTGATGCAATTCAAGTTTCTTCTAAAGTCATGATTAATCTCTTAGAAAAATTAATCATATATAATAAATCATAATGTAACCACACTAATCATATATATTTGTGCTAATTTTTTATGGCATTTCTTACAAGTATGGACCTTAAGATATAATTAATGCCTTCCTTTCATGGCTGATTTTAATTTCTACTATTGTTAGTGCTTTTACATAATCACATTTGTTCTATAAATATGTATTGTGTGTTATGTACCAAGTTTTCTTTTAAGTGTAGTGATATAATAATTTTTTAAAATGAATTTCCTGAACTTCTGGAGTAAGGTAAATAAGCAAGGACATGTTTAGTATGATAGAGGTTGATAGGTGTTATGGAAAAAATTAGAAGAGGACAGAGGTTTATCTGGTGAGCTAGTCAACCATGTCTAATCAGAAAATGAAAGGTGTGGGGAGAGAGGCGGGCTCCCTATTGAAAGGCTCATTGGTAAATGTCATATGTGAGCAGACACCATAATTAAAGCAGCGAGTAATATTTAGAGATACCTGGGGAAAGGTACTTCCAGAACAAAGGAACCAAAACTAAACCTACTTTAGGGATTGGAGCATCCTAGATGTATTCCAAGAGGACAGAGTGGGCCAGTGTGACTGGAGTGGAGTGAGCAAGGGGGAAATTAGTAGGATATGAAGTCACAGATGAGGTGAGGCTTTATAGGTGCCATTAAAGATTCAGGCTTCAACACTGAGGAACATTGAAAACCCCTGAAGGGTTTGGGTAGAGGAAAGACATGATCTGAGTGGTCTGATATATGATTTAAAGGATCCCTTTGCTGTAGTGAAACAAGGGGAGATGATCAGGAGAGCAGTGAGGAAGTTATTGAGATAGGCCAGGGAAGAAAAGACTAGAGAGAAGTGCCCATGATGAGAAGTGGGCAGATTTCAGATGTTACTTGAAGGTGGAGCTCACTAGATTAGTGAATGGATTGGATGTGGAGTGGAAGAGAACATAAACAAGGAGAACTCTAAAAATTTTGACCCTAGAAAGTAGAAAATTAAATTTCCATCACTTGAAATGGAGAGAACTATGGGTTAAGCAAGATTATGGGGATGAGCAGAGCTTCCGTTTTTTAAACATGCTATTAGACCTGCATGCCCATAAGTGCAGATAATAAGTGGGCAATGGTAATCATGGCTTTGAGTTCAGGAAGGAGATGTGCACCAAAATGTCAATTTTATGGTCTCTATCACATAGTTGATACTAAAGCTACAAACCTAGAGGTGATTGACAAATGATGGTCTGAATTAACATTGTGCAAATGTGATGTGTATTCAGTAGGAACTATAGACATTGTGGATTTGAGTTTTGATCTTTTCCTGGAGTAGCAATATGCAATATGATACTTTCTGGTAATTCTGGGCCATGACAGTGAGCACAGCTCCCCGCCAGACATGGGATCATGATGGTGAAAATAGACACCCTACATTGTACTGTCTGCTAAATTAGGATGTTGGGTCAGGTGCACAAAACACATATTTTTGGGGGGAGGTACCAGAGATTGAACTCAAGGGCACTTCACCATTGAGCCACATTCCCCAGCCCTATTTTGCATTTTTTATTTAGAGGCAGGTTTTCACTGAGTTGCTTAGCTTCTTGCCATTTTTAAGGCTGGCTTTGAACTCTTATCTTCCTGCCTCTGCCTCCCAAGCAGCTGGGATTACAGTTGTGTATCACCACACCTGGCACAAAATGCATTTTTGACTCATCATGGTGTTTTCAATTTATGGTGAGTTTCTTGAACTGTAATCTCATAATAAGTTAAGGGGCATCTGCATAGAGAACAGATGTGTAGATGGTGCATTGTCTTCAAAATGATACTAGATGGCACAGAATTAAATTTTTAGTGGTAGTTATTTTTATATGATTACAATTAATGATATTAGTAAAATTCTGATTTTTATACATGTAAATTTCATAGAATTCCCCATGAAATTAAGAGTTTTACACAAATATGAGTACATTTAAGCTACTAGTTTAAAAATAAATAGTAGTAATAATAAATAATAGCAAATACAACAAATAATAATGTCATGCCAATATTTCAATATTTTGAATACAGTTTCAGGAGAAGTTTGTAAAACACAGATATATTAGAAAAATTTATTTTCTGGGTCAACAACTTTAGTCCTTATTATTAGCCAACAGCTTTAAGGCAAGTCTTTTCGATTCTCTGTCTTTTGCCTTTATCCCTAAAATATGGCAATAATAATAACACCCTCCAAATGTTTTCTCTCATGAGTGGATGCTGATCCATAATGGGGAGCATAGGAAAAATGGAGGAATTTTGATTGGGTAAAGGAGAGTGAGAGAAGAGGAGGAGGTATGGGGGCAGGAAAGATGGTGGAATGAGATAGACATTATTAACCTAGGTACATATATGACTGACTGCACATATGGTACGATGCTACATCGTGTACAGTCAGAGAAATGGAAAGTTGTGCTGCAATTGTGTACAATGAATCAAAATGCATTCTGCTGTCATATATACCTAATTAAAATACATAAATTAATTACTAAAAATTAATACCCTAATAATATTCATTTTTCACTCCCCTGAGAAAATAGAGCCAATACCACATGATTTTTTTTTTTTAATCAGAAAATGGATGTCCCTTGTCAAATGTCTTTAGAGTTATTCACAGGAGAGTTTTTCAGAGGGAAGCATGCACCAATGGACATTTATTCCACAACTATATACTTTAATAAATGGCTTAACATGAGAATTTTATCTACTTTTATACTTGCCTGATGCACATAACAGTGTGTTGTAAGTTTCTTCTTTTTCTATTCCTTCAGGCTTTATATTGAAAATAAAAAACAAAGAATAAAAGTTCATTTCTCTAAAGTAGGGGAGAATGTATTTGTGAAAAATTGAGTTGTGGATACACACCTTTACTCTTGGAAATGAACAGAGTTCAGGCATAGTTAGATAATAATATATGATGAAGCTTTCAAGATAGGAAATATATTCACATACCTCAACTATTAAGGACTTTATCACAGTGTCCTTATGTACAAGTGTTGGAAATTCAGTCACCTCATTGCCACATGTTTCCTGAGACTGCAGGGCATCTGCAGTAGCTGTGAAATTCACCTTTCCTGAGGATTAAGGTTTTTAGGGAGTTAAACAGTTATTCTGTATTGAATGGTTTTCTTCCTCTTAACCAGTGTTGAATGAGGAGAAAAAGCATGTCTTGGGGTTTGAGGAGAAAGCAAATCATGGATTGTGAACAGCTGTAGCACTCACCCAGTGACTTTGGGATCACGGACCAAGACACAGTCTTCTGCCTATCTCCACAGACACAGTGAGATTTTTCATTATTCTCTTCTGAGATGGCCAGGAAAGCAGAAGAGACCTCCAGCTGCACTCTGACCTGCCCCCACACCCAAATGCAAGTTGGTGGCAGGACACGGGCAGAAGATCAATTGTAGGAAGAATAGCTTAGAGGGACAGTACATACCAGTCCAAAGGGTGTGAGACATTGTTTGAACAAGTAGATCCTATCTACTACCTTGCAGTTTGGGCATTTGCAATTAGGGAATTGAAAAACTTGCAGGAAAAAGGATAAATGCATCATGCCAAGGCATGAAAAAGACATTTCTTTAGAGTTAAAAAAATGAAGCAATCATGGGGAAATGGTATCTGGATTTTGGGAATAAATAAGAGGGGCCTCAGTGAAAATCGTCGTAGATTTTTGTAATCATAGTAGATTGGGCCTGCCAAGGTGGCTTTACTCACTTCCTTTCTGAAATTAGGTTCTGATTTCCTGGGGGTTCTGATTTCCTGGGGGATTCTCTAGGAGCCAAAGGCAATGATGATCATGGTAACCATGTGCCTTTTTTCATGTCCACTCACTTCCAGAAAGATGCATTTACCTGGATGCAGTGGGACAAGTAGTTGGACACAGTGGCTTTGAGGGTGAAGATTTCTCCTCGCACCACAGAGTAGGGGAGAGTGAGTTCCAGGAAGAAGGGCTGGAAGACTTGAAGAGAGACCGTTGGGGAAAGACCAAGCCCTGTGGTTCCAGACAGACAGAGTGCACTGGCCTTCCACTCTGTGATGGTGTCAGGGATCTTCAGGGGCAACTCGCTCTGCCCTGACAAACTAATGAAGGGAAAGAGGATGGTGGTGAACAAATGTCATTTTTAGCTCAAGCCATCACTGATCCTAGAACCTGGTGACTCAGTAAACTTGTGAGCTTGACCTAAGGTTTAGTGACCAGTGAGTCTCTGGAGGTCTGGCACTTTCTCTCTTGTCCCTTCTTCCCTCCCTTTCTGCCACTCTCTTCCCTCCTCTTTCCTCTCTCCCTCCATCCCTTTCTATATTCTTTTCTTTTTCTCCTGTAGCAGAGAGGGTATCCTCCTGCTTTCTATTATTTTAGTTATCTCAGGAGAATTTTTTTTCATAGCATTGCTTATCTGTGAGTTAAATGAACTGTGAGCCTAAAATAGTTATCAGAGAAGAAAAGAGCAGAACTCAAAGGGTCAGGAACAAGGATAACAAGAGTCCTAGAGCAGGATTCAAATCCTGTCCTGAACTGAATGTCAGAGGACATGTGACTTACTCCAGGTCCACCAAGTCCCAGATCCAGGTCTCAGGGAAATACTTCCGGACTGTCTCTTTCACTTGTGTAGTTGGAAAGTCTGTCGGCATTGAGGAAGTCAACCTTGGAAGACTTCGCAGTCCAGAACGAAAGCCATCTGGTGTTGCTATGGGAAGACAGCACATAGGCCCCAATGTAAGCCTCATTTTCATCATTAATTTCTATTTTTGTGCATATGATACGGGGGATGAAACCCAGTAGTGTTTTACCAGTAGTGAGCTATATCACCAGCCCGATTTTTAAAAATTTTGACACAGGTTTCACAAAGTTGTGGAGGTTGGCCTTTGGCTTGAGATCCTCCTGCCTCCATCTCTGGAGTTGCTGGGATTGCAGGTTTGTGCCACGATGCTCAGCTTCATCATTAATTTCTTATGGTAGCTTATTTCTCGGGTGGAATAAGGCCATTTGTGCAAGGAATGTTTCTTCTTAGAATTATTTAGCCTTCCAAGTTGTTGCTTTGTTTTCTTACCTGTTTGTCCTGTAGAAAGTTTAGTCCCTATTGCTTGTTCAAATACAGTTTAGAGCTAAATATATTTTTCTCTATGAATAAAAGCAAATGTAGCTCTAAAATGATTTTTCAATTAATTAGGAAAAGATTAGAGTAATTTAATATATCAAATAATGCTGTTACACTGAAATGAACATCATGCTTTCCATTGGCAGTAACAATTGAACAAGAAAAATGGACATTAGCCTTTGCAAGATTTCAGAAATTACTTGTTGGTTGTTTGCTTGAACAGTGAATGAGATATAGAGATATAAATAGTAAACAATAGGACACAGTAATGTGTGTGTTACAGACACAAACACTCAAGAAAGAAAAGAGAATAGTTGGGTATGGTTGCCACATCTATAATCCCAGCTAATTGGGAGGCTGATAGAGGAGGATCACAAGTTCAAGGCCAGTCTCAGAAACTTAGTGAGGCTCTGTTTCAAAATAAAAAGCGCTGCATATGTAGTTCAGTGGTAGAGTGTCCCTGGGTTTGGTCTCTAGTACCAGAAAGAGGGAGACAGACAGGGAGAAGATAATTGACTTCAGTTTTAGGAGAAAAGACTTTAACAAGGAGCAAGGTCATATGATCCTTAGTGGGTAGGAAGCTGAGGAGAATGGAGGGCATGCTAGTGAAAGAGGAGTACCCAGAGTGGCAGAGCTAGGAAGCAATAATTCAAAGAGTTTATGAAAAACTCCCCCTTCCAGAGAAGAATGTCTATTTGGGGGGAACTTTAACATCTCTGGGTAAATAGTAGATGTAATTATATAATAAGACACCATGAAGGTCAGGACAAATAAATTAGATCTGTTAAGGCAACAGTTCCTTAGCTTGATAAAAAAGATATTCCAGAGATCAGAATATATATATAATTTTAAATATTATTTTATATATCTTTATTATAATGTTATTATACACTTGTATAGCTATATATACCTCTGATTTCTGGAATATCACTTTCTTAGTATAATTATATATTAATATATAATTATAAATATATATGTATAAAATAAGGTTTGGATATGGTGTTGAAAGCCATAGCCACAGTCCCTTCTGAGAGTAGGGAGTGAGACATGATAACTATTTAAGGGCGATTAGCCTTTCACAGTATACGGGTTAGACTGAAGTGGAGAAAGACCAGAGACAAGGAAGGAAAGTTCACATGGCTTTTTAGTAATCTAGTTATAAAACTATAAGGGATAGGAATGAGATGAGATGTAACTGAAAATGAAGAGGAAAGAATAAATAGGTGACAGATGCTGAAGGAAAACTTTGTTCAGAATATTTAGGATAATACTATGATGATGATACTCTGAATTTACAGGATTTTCTGCATCATTCCATTGACAGTCTTTTTTCTCTTAGATTTGAAAAGAAAATATGCATTTGATATTGAGGAAAAGTAAAATCAATTTATAGTGCAGTTCAGATTTCTTTTTCAGAAACATTCTATTACATGGAATAATAATTAGATTTTTTTTTCGTTTTATGCTCTGAACACGTCAGTGAAAAGTTTGGTGGTCATTCTGATTCTAGATATGAAGATACTGAGCCAGCAGAAGGTCACATGAATTTGTGGTATTTCAAAGTCATATTTATCATAGCAAATAAAGGGGAGATATTAAATTGTCCCTTTGTTCTAAGAAAACAATAATACTTATTCACTATACAGGATTTTCTTCTTGTTGAGGAAATTGTCTTATTCACTTCTTTGTTTATAACTAGATCTTTGACCCTTGTCTTCCCAAGAGGTTTTAGACCCCTGTCTAATATAGTAATTTTACTTATATTTGAATATGTTTTTTGTGTGTTTATTCTTTTTTTAAAAAAAAGTCTTTATATTACCACACTCATTTTTTACTAGAGATTAATAGACGTTCAAGCTTCCAGGGAGAGATCTATGAATGCCTGGTAACAGTAGGAAAAAATATTCAGGATCCTTTTAACTTTTCCTTATTTCTAGGTATCTTGAAAAAAATACATAGAGAACAATAGAACGTTTGTCAAAAGTTGAATTATTCTATGTTATTCAACTTTCATAAAAAGACATGCCATAGTTGATATCCACGTGATCCTTCCCATTTATCAGCTTCCCTTGCAGTTAGGGAAGGAATATAGGCAGAAGTGATATTTGCCATTTTCACTTCTGATCATAAAAGTCACACACCAATCTGCTCCTTTACCATGACTGTGACTTTGAAAGGTCCACTGGAGGTGGTAGTGTTACCAGATGAAAGCAAACTGGTTATCCCTGATTTTATTTGATAGAAAGAGAATCCTAGAGAGCTAGTGGACTCACAAGTAGCTTTTGTGTGAATAAAAATAAAATAAAATAAAATAAAATAAATGGCTAGGTGCTTAGCCATTTTGATACAGGGGTGAATTTGTTATTGCAATGTAATAGATCTTACCCTGACTAATTCAGGTATTGAATCTACAATGAATAAAGAGGATCTGAAATAGCAAAAGTACTGAAGGCTCACACACAAAAATAGCCAATTTTGACATCAGAGAGAGGGGGTAAGAGAAGAACAATAATTTATTTAAAGTCTTATTTAGGGAAAAGATGTTACTTGTGGATAACTTGCCAAAAAAGTTGATGCAGAGTTATCAGAGTCAATACTTAGATGAAGAATTATTTATCCCAACCCACCCCAGTAAAGTATAATTTTTCTTTTGCTTTAGCAGGCAAATAAAGTACAACCTTACCTACTTCATAGGCCATAGCTACTGGTGTAAAACGATGAGGAGGTTGGCAAAAATGTGTCTTATGGATTTTTGAATTGGTAAAAATATTTAATCCTATAGACTGAAAGAGAGATTAACTTGTTAAAGCATAGAGGAAGTTTAATCTTGAGAATGGCATTAATTTATTAAATTTGAATTGTACTTTCACTATTGTTTAATACAGAATTAATAGGATCATTATGAAAATTCTGCACAATAAAGAGGACGTCTACTTATAATTATGCAATGGAGTCACAGAACATGAAGTTTACCTACCGAATAATGGGATTGAAATTCTAATTCTGATTCCTATGATTCCTATTTTAAAATATTGTCTGTTATACTGTGATACCTCTGGAATTATTTATTTTTGTATCCAGGTAACTACAGATTTCAGTCTTAGATGTTTTCTTCCCTCCTATTTCTTCACTAAAGATCTGCATCCCTATATGTATAGCCAACTAGATAAATCTTAATGATTTCCCTGTAGAAAGTGTGGTTTTGTCATTTGAAATTGTGGGATTGCATACTAGAGATTTTTCTCCACAATTTAATAGATTTTGTTTATTCAAAGATATTCCTTTCCCTGAATAAGTATACTCGATTGGTTCCTTTTGGGATTTTTCCTTCCCTCTTTTCTTTCCCAGTTTTTAACTATATGGAATATCTGCATTCAAAGCACACATGTCACAATAGTCTGATTCCTGGAGTCTCCCTGTCCCCACCTTTTACCTTCAATATTCATCGCTGATAAACTCTACTTACTGTCTCATCTCAGAGTACCTGGGGAGCCATATGACCCTGGGGCATAGTTGTCAGCGGCAGTTGGATACGGGGATAGAAAGAGTCAGACATAAAGGTTTAAAGATTGAACAGCTAGTTAATAAACATAAAGTGTGTTTATTTAAATTTAAATTTATTTAAATTTAGAGGCTTGATAAGAGAGATTTAAGTTTCTTTCAGCTTAGCTGCTGACCTCTGTCAGAAGAATGACGTGTGTTTTCCTCAAGGTATAAAAAAATTTGTGTTTCTTTTTTGATGGTGGTATGATTTAGATTTAATTTCACAACCTAGTTAAACTCTTCTTTTATAACTCTACTAAAGAATAGTTAAAATTATACATTTTTCAAACAGGTTGACGTTAACACAAATAGTGTTAATCCTTTCTTAAGAAAATGGCTGCTTTCTGTTTGCCTGAAATGTTACTGCCTTAAAGGTAAGAGTTAAAGTAGTGCACTTTATACATTCAGTCATTATTCATTTAACAAGGATTTATTGTCCTAACGACTTGTATGATGGCTTCAATAAACTATTCATACATTAGAATCTCTAAGAATTATTGAAAGGGGAATATGATGATGGAACTCACCATGAAAATAAATTTGATTAAGGATTTTGGCTATAAAAATAAATCACTTGCTGTTTAAGGTAACAGAGAAATTCATGTATGAAAATCTGTACAAAGTTTTCTATGCCTTTGACATTCCAATATTTTTCTCTTTTGTCATTGTTTTGTTAGAGTTTGTGGAAGACTAAATCCTATAGCTTAGAATTCTATTGATTCTCCACCTTAATAGAGACAAAGCAACTTAGGTTTTATTTTGTGGAAAAAGAATTACCTCAAAAATTCTGTAAACATCATCATTATGTAGTAGCTGCTTTGGTGTGTATACCATTTCATTGAGAATTATGTCTTTTGCATGGATGCATTTTTCACCATTTGCATTTGGTGTACCTCTGTATCCAGTGCCAACAACACTCTTTTCTGGTAGTAACTTATAGACCTGTGAAATTGGGAGAATAATGGGGAAATTCTTATTTTGTTTATATTTAATGTGACAATATTCAACATGGTATTTCAAAGGTTATGGGTTTTGTTTAATGTTGTTAAGCCTATATTATCAAGAACACAGAGTCTAATGCTCTATCAGAGGTGCATGTGATAAAGATTTTCTCCCATTCTGTAGGTTCTCTCTTCACATTATTGTTTCTTTTGCCGAGAAGAAGCTTTTTAGTTTGAATCCATCCCATTTTATTCTTGCTTTTACTTCTTGATGTTAAGGAAGTCAGGTTTTAAGCCAACACGGTGAAGATTTGGGCCTACTTTTTCTTCTATTATGTGCAAGGTCTCTGGTCTATTTGAATTTGAATTGAGTTTTGTGCACGGTGAGAGATAAGGGTTTAATTTCATTGCTTTGGCTATTCTGGGTTTTTAATTTTTCCAAATGAACTTCATGATTGCTTTTTCTAGTTCTATGAAGAATGTCATTGAAATTTTAATCGGAATTGCATTAAATCTTTATAATATTTTGTTAGTTTGGCCATTTTGACAATATTTATTCTGCCTATCCAAGACCTCTCCTTGGTATGATGTCCTCCAGTTCCATCAAATCACCAACAAATGCCATAATTTCATTCTTCATTATGGCTGAGTAAAAGTCCACTGTGTGTGTGTGTGTGTGTGTGTGTGTGTGTGTGTGTGTCTCACATTTTCTTCATCCATTCTTTTCTTGTTGGGACATCTGGGCTGGTCCCATAATTTGGCTATTTTGAGTTGTACTGGATGTGCCTGTATCACTAGTATGCTCATTTTAGTTCTTTTGGATAAATACCCAGGAGTGGGATATCTGGGTCATAAGGTAGCTCCATTCCAGATCTGAGGAATACCCACACTTCTTTCCAAAGTGGCTATAAACTAATTTGCTCTCCCACCAACAATGTATGAGTGTACCTTTTCCCCCATATTCTCACCAGTATTTATTATTATTTGCATCCTTGAAGATTGGGATTCTAATTGGAGATGAAACCTCAATGTAGTTTTGATTTGCATTTCCCTGATTCTGATGGATGTTGGATATTTTTTCATATATTTCTTGGTCATTTGTATTTATAAGAGACATTTTTAAAAATAATTTGGGCAGGAACTCTCTTTCACCTACTCTTAAAATCAGTAAAGTCTTGATTTCAGTAAAAACTTAAAACCTGGCACTTTACATAACAACTTAAATGCAGTGTGTTAGGAAGCTGCATTGCAACCAATTTGTTGTGAATTTCACCTCTGAAACACAGTTTTAGCATGCTTTCTCTATAATCATTTAATATGGACTAGGTATATTTTGTTCAGTCATAAAGTAATATGATAATACCTACTTGAAATTATTGTTCATTTATTCACTTATGACAAATGGGTTAAGCTCCTCTTATACTTAAGAAACTGTGCTAGTCATGGGGAATGTGGTGGTAAATAAGATTGCTCTGTCAAAGAGTATATAATAGAATGAAATGAGATGATACAAGTAAAGTGCTTGGTTCAATGATTGCTGTGGAATTACATCATGCCTATAACTCAGAAAAACTTGTCCTTTGCAGTTGCAACGTCCAAAAATAGTCTTGCCATGTGAGCATTTTGTTAAACCCAAGTCTGAAGTGGTACTCACCGACTGAGGTGAAAGCTCAGCTTCAGGTTTCATTAGCAGCACACTCTGGTCTACAGCCCTGAGGGCGCAGAGGGAGAAGGGCGTGGCTTTGACCTTCAGGTGATTGTCTGAGGCTGGCAAGCCCTGGACTGATGAGAAACTCAAATTTACCTGTAAAGAGGATATGATCATAGCAGCAACTTTTGTAAATATTACAGTCTCACATCTCTCTTACTCCAGGCCAAGATGAGTCTTTTTGACCTTTTCTTTCTCTCTTTCCTTCTTAGAGCAGACATAAGAGATGAATTTTCCCAGGAACCACCAACTAAACATCCTTGGAATAATCTAGACATGAGGTTCCAGTTAACTTAGGTTTCCTATTCTTTATATAACTGGGGAAATATAAGTTGGCTTGGATCACATAGAATTCGAATCCTGGACTGGGATTGAAAACACATATGCTAAGTGTAAGTGGCTACCCTATTTCTGTGCAGTGTATTGTGATGAATGTGTGTGCTTTGTAAGATTCTGTGAAAAAATCACATTCAGCATTTTAATTGGTCAACTGAATTCTCTTCCAGCTGGATATCTTAGCCACATGAAGTCTTAAAGCAGGGTACTACTGATAATCAGGTTGGGTGTTTATTGGGTCATTTAAAAAATAACTCATGATATTCTAAGTTTTAAATTCTGTAAAAATAATAAATAGTAAAATATTATTATTTTAAAGTTACCATAAGTGGTATATTTGTTGCTCAATTTAAGTTTTATATAGATTATCCACAGATAGGACGATGGAATAAAATAGGTTAAACATCTAATACATACATATCCTAAGTGTTTTTAGGGAATTCAAACACCTGTGAATAAAGATCAATAACAACAGAATAATGGGAAATGATGCAGATTTTTTTTTTACAGATTTGATTTCACTTTAGCCAGTAGAAATTAATTGACAAGTGAATCTTTTAGTTTCTTCTATTATGCAGATATTTCTTAAGCAATACCTGAGCTACATTTGAATTTAAAGTAGTAATATCAGATGACTTCCTACATTTTTTCTTTTTTTGGTACCAAGGAATGAACCCAGGGGTGCTTTACCTCTGAGCCACATCCCAAGCCCTTTTTAATATTTTACTTAGAGAAATGACCTCACTGAATTGCTTAGGGCCTTGCTAAGTTACTGAAGCTGGCTTTGAACTTGCAATTCTCCTGTCTTAGCCTCCTAAGCTGCTGTGATTATAGGCGTACACCACCGCTTCTGGCTTTTCTAAATTCTTGAACTGGAAATTTATTTGAATTGAAACAAAAGGTTAGTATGTTTAGCTAAATAACATTCAACTTACTGAATTTAACTACAAGAATCCTGCTATGTGGTCTGCTAACTTAGCAGTTTGGAATCATGCATCATATAACATGCATGAAAAATAAATCACTAATTATATATCCTCAAAATGTAGACATATTTATATCTCTAATTCAATATATTTGGAAAACAATGCTTTTGGAAAATTTCATTTTAAGTGTTTTTAGTTTTAGAAAATTTAAGTTCATTAAAATAAATTTATGAATATACACATCAAATGAACAAGAAGGTTGTTTGGAATTGTAATCAACTGAAAATACTGTTGACCAAGAAATGGAAATGTGATAAAATATAAAATATTTTAACAATTTGAAAGCCAAAAGAACTTTATAGCATGTTTTGAAGGAGTCCTTATCTAGCTGTGTTAATCAGTGTTTTCCTTAATGGATAATCATATCCAGTAGAGAATAACAAATAATAAAATCCATTACATATTCAATGTGTGCACCAAATTTGTTGTTTTAAAGGGAAGGTGTTTTCAAAATAAAAATAGTTTTCTCTGTCCCAACAAAGATTGAAAATAAATATTTAAATTATATTTGATTTGAAGGAATTCATGTCTCAGTCAAACCTGAGGTATTTCCTCATGTTCTCAGTCCACTGTTTATTCATCATCCCGTCAGGCTGTCTAAATTGATTTATACCTTCAATTGATCTACTCTTCTAATGTTTTGTGGTATTTTATATGAAGAGAAATATAACGTCCATGGGCCTTTGTTTCTGTGGGAAAGTTTCATGGTGTTACACAGAAATTGTTGCAGATTTGGCAGATTGAGAAACATTGTTTAGTTTGAACTCTGAGAAGAAAATTGATGTTCTGTTGATTATATTTTTGAAAACCTCTCTGATTCCCCACTGTGATGGGAACACCAACTCATCAGAAAGAGCACTGCTCCACTGCTATGAGTAAAGTGGGCTGATATCTGTGGCATAGCAGGGCCCTTCCAGGATTGAACAACTCACTCTCCAGGGTTAACAGTGAAAGCCATGAAGCTTGAGCAGGCGTCTCCCCTCACTTGACAGAAAGCATGCCAAAATCCCAAAAGGAAGAGGCACTAGACTCCAAGGACATTATATTCTATTTCTAATATGAAAAGGTCCAGGCTTAGTAGAATTCTTTAGATGGAATTGAAGATGTATAAAGATATGTATCAGAATCCATTGTGTGTTTTTCTTTGTTTGTTTGTTTGTTTGGTAGTGGTGCTGGGGATTGAACCCAGGGCCTGGTGTAGGTGAGGCAAGCTCTCTATCAGCTGAGCTATTTCCCCAGCCTCAGTGTATTTATTTATTTATTGGCAATCACACAAGAGTCTTTATTGCAAGCTCGAACCTGGACTCAAAACTGTTCCTGATGCAGCAGTCCTAGGGAGTGAGTCCCAGTCCTTTGTTCAGTGAGAGTTTATAGGTTTTGGGGGATACTCTATATGTCACAACATCACACAGCAAATCATTTCACACCATGGGAAAATCATACAACAATTCTTAACGTTGATTAGCACATTCACTGGCATCCAGTGTATTTTTTTTAAGTAATGCAAATATTGTTTTAATGGGAGAAAAGTTCAGATGTTATAAACACACATTGTTTTATTCTCTGTAAAGTGTGTGTTAAAGATTCCTCCCAGTTTTTGAAGAGATATCTGAAGTAGGTAGATTCTGTTTGCTAATGTTAAAATATACTGCCAGAATAGTAAAAATCAGATAAAAGCACCAAATTCTACTGAGATAAAACTTATTTTTTAATCTATTGGGCTTCACATTGCAGCTTTGTATTCTTTAAAAATAAAAAAAAATTTCATTTATTCTTATGTTAGATTTTTATGCTATAATCATTATTAGAGTACCAAGATTGTGTTTCTCAAAGCAGGGTACAGACATATGCTCCTGGTTTATACTGTCAAGCTAAATGCAAACTTATAATAACCTACTGGTTCCTGTGCTCAGGTGTGACTCAATAAAATGACACAGCTTTATGAAGCATCATTTTCAGGTGAAAATTTTGGTAATGAAATATTTTAAACCTAAAACTATTAAGAGTTTATACTGGAATGATTTTAAAATCCATATAACTATTATGATAAAAAAGAGTTTTTGAAAATTGTGCTCGTGGTCCCCAGACCTCTCAAGGTATGATGTCATTCTGCCTTGTGAGGATTCTTATTGTCACCAGACCACTCAAGGTATGATGTCATTCTGCCTTGTGAGATTCTTTGGAGAAAAGTTTTAGGACCACATTATGGGAGTATTTTACTTACTTCCTTATTTTCCATACTTAGAAAGAAGAAAAGGATGAAATGACTAAGCCTAAACAAAATGACCCACCTTGTTCGCAAAACAGTTTTCAATTTCGAGTTTCTGAGTGTCTGCAATAATTTCTCCATTAGGTAAAATAGTGTAAAGAAGAATCTGAGCAGTAGGAGCAATGTCTGGTTCCACTTGAAAGGAGAAGGAAAATGCCCCCATCACTGGAGAATAAAGAAAGTTCAAGATTAGAGATTAGGAACAATTTTCTCAATCTTATGAAACAGGGGTTCTCAGATTATTTAACTTATTCACATTTGGGACATACTAAAGTAAGAAAATAATTGTATACACACTAGTGTGCATATAGTAGTTATTTAATAAATATATGCTGAAATAATGACTTTTTAAAGATATAGGTTTAATTGTTTATTTTCTCTGCTTAAGTAAGAAAAAAAACATTTAGTCATGTATCTATTTCTAATATGAAAAAATTTAAGAAATTTGGGAGAGGATGAAGGAGAGAATTTCAATCAGTTCTAGTTATCCCTAAGATCCAAATCAGCACATCTTGTCCTGTGTGTAAGAACAATACAAATAATCCAATACAGTCTTTCCTTCAGGCCATTTACAACACAACAGAGATACAGGTACAAATAATCACATATAAGACATTGAGAGACTCTTATTTCTATAAAAGAATTTCACCTTTATATCTTAGTAATTGCTTCCTGTGCAAATCACCTAATGCGTATGTAACATTTCCACCTTGTTTCTCTCAAGAATGTTCTAATTTAGGTCTTTGTAGCTTACAATCCTATTTAAAAAACTATCCTCTGGGCTGGCGTTGTGGCTCAGAGGTAGAGCACTTGCCTAGCTTGTGCGAGGACCTGGGCTTGATCCTCAGCACCACATAAAAATAAATACACAAAATAAAGGTATTGTGTCCAACTACAACTAAAAAATAAATATTAAAAAAACTATCCCCTTCCTATGTCCTTAAAAGATTTGATGGGCATAGAGTTTTCTTTTGGGGTGATGAAAATGTATTGAGAATAGGTAGAGTTGGTGGTTGCTCAAAAATGTGAATGTGCTAAATGTCACTAAATTAATTGCACACTTGAAAATGACTAACTTTAAGTGAATTTCACCTCAATAAGAAATTTGAGAAGAAGATCAATTTGAGTACAATTGATAGTAAGTCTCCCTTTATGAACAAGTTACATGTCTTCACTTATATAGGAATTTCTTTTAATAAGTTTTGAGATTATCTACAAAAATGTGAAGTTAGCTTGTGATAGAAGCAAAACCAATAGGGTCAAAATAAATTTTGATAAAAAAATAATACTAAAAACATATGAAGGTATATTTCTGAAACAGTTAATTATAAGTAAGTATGTAATAAATATAAGCAGACATTCATTTTATTAGGAAAATGTTAACAAAATAGTTATTTTTCCTAAGTACTTAAACTTTTCATTAGGTTTCATGGAAGTCAAAGACAAAATGGAAAAGCACCCACTAATATATTATCATTGAACAAAATGCAGCATATTTTTGTTAAAGTTATATTTCTTTTTCCTATTCACCTCTGTAGGTACTCAATAAATAAATTGTTTTAACTCTACTACAGAAACAAAATTTGAAGCTATTGCTTTATGAGATAGTTTGTTTTTTATGTTATGTTTCCTCTAATGTGAAAATAGCTCTAACCTGCTAAATTGTTCAGGACTTGGCCAATTGAGAGGGAACCAAAACATGTAATTAGAAAATGCTTACCATTTCCTTTTTCAATGGACAATACATGGATTCCTGATTTGGAGATGCTTCCTCTTGCTTTTATCTGAAGATAGAAAGAAATTTATTTATTATTGTTTAAAAGTGTATATGTTAATCTTACTTCAAAATGTTTATAATATATAAAAAAACAATAGTCATACAACTCCAATCAGAAGTTTTGTTTTATTACTATCTTTACCTTCCAATATTTTCCTAACTGTGCTTTTATCTACTTTGTATAACAAATTTTAGTATGTTTTACATTTTCATTTAATATTTATCATTTCTATTAGATATTTCATTTCAAGTTTGTTATTTTAATAAATATTTTAAGTACCTACTATATGCAGAGCAATGCATAATGAAGATGGATGTAAAATATACATGTTTTCTCTATTGTTGCCCCTTTCTCTAAAAAACAAACATATTCAGCATTCTCTTTGTATTAGACATGAAACTGAATGATTTAATTTCAATAATAATTATATGAAGTGGTTATTATCTCCAGTACTCAGGTGAAATGACATATTTGTCTTTACAGATGAAATTAAGTAATTTATACAAGATCAAACTGAAAGTAACTTGTTAATTTTCTACTTTTTTTATAGAATTAAGGAAATGATTGTATAGCTGGTGTTTCAGTGGTGACCAGAAAATAAATGAGAAATTAAGGCATTAACTCCTTAGGAATTAATTTCTTTTCTAGCATAAAAACAATACCCCCTTTATTAATATTGACATAAAAACTGTTACTTTGACAGGAATCCAGAAATTTTCGAGTTAATGCATTGAGAAAGAGATACAGTGACTCTTATTCTTACCAAATAATAGAAGGTTAACTCTTTTTCATCCTTCAGGGTCTGTTCATTCAAGATGTATTGTGCCTGAATCTCTTGGGTTTGCCCACAGGTCAAAGTACCAGCAACAAGTTCAAGCTGAACATAACTCCTGCTTGGGGAAAACATGAGGCTTGCAGAGTGCTGTGTTCTTTCATGAACTTCATCAAGCCACCAGTCATCAAAGCAGTTAGTATTCTGTTTGTAAGTAACCTAATGTGAAAATATAAAGTCTATTTGTAGTTAATCTCTCTCTCTCTCTCTCTCTCTCTCCTTTCTAAATATGTCAAGAGGCTGCTTTCCTAAATACAGTGTACAGTATAACACATAGCCACCTTCCTCCTGAGGTGATTTGGGTGTTTGCTGAACTCATTTAGTGGATATTATTCACTTGCAGTCAAGTTTAATTACTTTTTCTTAAGACATTATGGCTGTAAATTGTGTCAGAGCATTTAAATATTCAGTAAAAGTCAAACACAGTATTATGCCAAAAAACTAACAAAGAAACATCTAATGGACATTAGAACTACAGAGCATTAAAAATTTCAAGGAAACATCAAGATGATCTATCCAATGGCACCTGCCACTAGACCATGTTGTGAAGAGTCCATGTAAGAGTGAAAGTTTTCTGGCAGAGAATTTTTTTTGTATAATTTAGGGCTCCACATTGCTTAATTTATGTTATTCTTTATCACCTTTTCTTTTATTCCTAGAGTTCACATGCTTCTCATACATCCTTGAACTATGTAGCCCTACTGATCTGTCTTTCTGTCCCAGATGCCCATTTTCACTCACGGTGACGACAATGGAAGGCGTTGTGAAGTTCATGGTGTTGAAGGAAATGTTGGCCAAACCATGCTCATCCGTAGTAAAACTGGAAACAAAGCTGTTCACACTGGCAATTACGTTTTGATTGGGGATTGGCTGATTCTTGTCATCAACTAGAAGAATCTAGAAATATGAAAGTAGTAGTTATATGTCATGAAGGAGTGACATCTTCTACTCTTTGACCTGTGCAGGTGTTCACTTGCTGGTCACTTCCTACCTTTTACCAAAGATCTTAGAGTCTGAAATCAAGATGTGTTTCCTGAGCTCTAAACTCTGATATTTATTTTTAATATTTCTTTATTCTTGTGATTTTTGAAAATATTAATGTAGCTTATTTTATTATCATCTTAATTGAAAAGCAATATTTGTATACATTTCTGAGATATAATGTAATATAGATCACCTTATTTTCTTATTATATTTCATAGTGAGACATTTAAAATTTACTATTTTTTATAAATGCAATACTATTGGTTATAGAACACCAGCTGTGAAATCGATCTTAAAATCTTGTTAATATTTCTATTAGGATATTTCTATTTGAGACTATTTGAAAATGGAACCATGAAGTTACCTTCCCCAATTTTTTCCAGCTTCAGTGTTTTTCGGTCTGGTTCCCAATAGCTTTCTATATAGTCTGCACTCTGCCCTCTTGCTGCTTCCCCTTTGCTCCAAATCATTCTCTATATAGCATGAACGTACCTGATCATGGTGAGTACCTAAAAACCTTCAGTCACTTCTCAATCTGAAATTCTTGCTATATCCTTAAAGGCTCTCAAAGATTTGATGTGGCTTCCCTACAACTATTTGGTGAATTCAGTCACACCTTTTATTTTAGCAGCAGTCACACTGTCTACCTTGTAGTTCTTTGTTCCTGAAACTATTTCACACCTTGAGCCTAGGCCAGTCTCCTATTTCTGGCCAGGTCATTCTCATCCTTCAAGTTTTCTCATCATCTTCTCTCTATCTGAAATGGCCTGGCCAGACTATATCTATATAGTTCCTAATTTCTTTCCCATTTGATGGATGAAATACTGGAATGAAAGAGGAAAATGTCAAATCACAAATTCAAATATAAAATTCAAAATATAAAATGAGGAAATTGGCTATAAGCTGTCAATTGAAAGATAAGTTAGTACAAAAGCAACTTTTAAAATACTCAGGAAACTTACATATCTTATATAAAAGAAAATTAATAGTATATTGAATTGGGATATCCATCCTAAAATTTACCATTGTTGACATTATTGATATTGAACTTTGAAACTCAAAAAAAAAACTTTTAAAAAATATTAGTAATAAAAAAATTATCTAGATGAAAGATTATTGCTATAGTTTGGGTGTTAAATATCACTCAAATGCCTATAGTTACAGGTTTTGTCTCCTGGGTGTTACTATTGGGAAGTTGTGGAACCTTTGTTGATGGGGGTGGCTAGTGGGAGGTACTTGGAAAATTGGAGATGCATCCCTGAAGGAGACTGTGGCACTACAGCATATTTTTCTTTTTCTCTCCTTCCCCTGCTTCTCTCCCCATCTTTCCCTCTGACCATGAGAGGAGCAGTTTCTCTCTTCTATATGTTCCCATCATGTACTGCCTCACCACAAGCTCTGAAGCAATGGGGCCAATCAATCATGCACTGAGACTTCTAAAACTGTGAGCCAAAATAAACATTTCTCTTTGTAAGCTAATTATGTCAAGTATTTTGTCATAGTAAAAAGTGATTGACACTATTACCTTTTTATTCTTCCTATGGAAAATTATATTTAAAAAAATTATTACTTACAAAAAGCCAATCAAAAAGAATTACACAAAAAATGCATTAGAGTTATGTTTGAAATTTAATTAATAAAATCATGCTTTGTTTTCCTGCATTTTGTGCTATTTGCTTTTCAAATTTATTTGCCATAATTTTTTATTCTTAATTTTATTTTTCTTATAAATATTGATTTTTTTTATTTTAAAATTTGTTTTATTAAAAGCCTCATGTCTGAAATTAATATATATTGAAAAGATAATTTTACCTGTCCCTGAAAAGGAAGTCCAGGTCGGTAATGTGAATTCACTTTAGTAAATTTCAGTTTGCTCAAGGTATTTGTGATTGCACTTGATCCATAACCAGTTAATTCTAATCCTAAAAAAGAAAAAAAAGTGAAGTTGAACAGTTCTATGTATTCCAAATTCACCTTCTAGTTCCACTGTATCTTCACTTCATCATAACAAAACACCATCCATATTCTCTTATTTATTCCAGAATTTCTCACACATACACTATAGAAGCTACTTGAGAAGCAATTTGATGTTAGCTTCATTTTCATATAAAACATAGTTACCATCCACAATCCCCAATTCTGGTTTTGAAAGTAGCCTACTTGTTCCACCTGTTTTTAAGTTCTCATCTTCTCTGTGATCTCGCTCCAGCTTTGTTTCTGTCTCTCTCATATCTTTGCTTTTCCTTTCAACTTTGTACTTACAATTAGATCATTCACATTCACATTGGCCTTAACATATGTTTATATTTCTATCACAAATATTTTCCCAGAAAGACTTTCCTTTTCATTGCATGGCTGGTCCAAAGTATACCCAATACCTGGTACTCTTCCATTCAGTGTGCCTTTTTTTATCATCTAAGTCATCATGTTATCAAAGTCTAAGTGGTCCATGACTTGACCCCATATAGATTCCTCATCTCAGATTCATCATAGGTGAACCGTTGGTAGTACTTCATATAGCAGTACCCTTGTGATATGTCATCTTTCCCAAGGCTTTTAAGAAATTCTACAGTTTTATTCTTCTCTACCCCTAGGTCTTATGATTTTATTTTATACTATTGTATAATCTACTGATACAGTTGTTTTTCTTCTTGGGATCCTCTTTGTCCTGTATGTATCCTAAATTTAGCAATGCTAAATGAGCTCACTTTCAGAAAGTACTGCACTCACTTTCAGGATATGGATACAGAAGGTGTGGCTTCAGATTTATATTTCTTACCCCTGTTCTGATGGCTCTCTTTATAAAGATTAAAATTATTATTGGCACAACGTATCCACTTCAACTTAATATTATAGATTTCAATTTGACATTTTCATCACAATAGTTCTTTTACATGTATTCTTTAAAAAAATTTTTTTAGTTGTCAAAAACTTTATTTTGTTTATTTATATGTGGTGCCAAGAATTCAATCCAGTGCCTCACACATGCTAGGCAAGCACTCTACCACTGAGCCACATCCCAGCTCTTACATGTATTCTATATTGGTTAATAGCATTTCCTTTTCTCCATATTTGGAATCTACTCATGCATTGTTAGTGAAACTGCAAATCAGCTTCACCACTTTGAGAAACAGTGTGGAGATTCCTCAAAGACTAGAACTGGAACCACCATGTGATGGTTATCCCACTCCTTGCTATTTATTTATCCAAAAGAACTAAAATCTGGGTTCAGCGTTTTTGAATCAGTTTCTGGTATATTACATTGCAACACAGTTTTCATTTAGCTTATCTTCTCTGTATCTGATAGAATTATGTTTTTAAAATATCAATTTTTAATCCATCCCTTCAAACCTATCTGATAACTAATAATTTTCAGAATGACTTCTAAACTCTTCAGTATATGACTTACTTTCCTCTCCAGCTTAGCACCAACCTACATTTTCAGATTCTTCTGAAAATGAATGGGTTCTTCTGAAAATTAACCCATTTTTTCTACGTTTTTCATGTTTCCCTGACCATCACCAATCTTTCAAAATATTAGACATCCTATTCAAATAATTTCAAATGCTAGTTTATCTTATAAAGCTTTCTTCTGGATTTACATCAGGATTAATTATTTCTTTTCATATTCATTTGGCCCTTAGTTTTATAATTCTTGTAGGAATTTTATGATCATACACATGAATATAAACATCTTATTTAAAATTTTTAATGCCTCGAGGGGCCCATGTCTTCTTCATAATATGCTGAAACTATAAAATATTTTAAATGGAATGGAAGCTGGGTAAACGTTGATTGAATTAATAAATAATTTAAAAAGAATGCAAACCTGTTGCTTCCTCTCTGATTGTGGCTTCTACTTGTATTCTCATGTCATAGCCCCTTTGTCTCAGTTGGAACACTTTAGTTTTTACCAGTTGTGTGAAACATCCTTTATTGTCTGCCTGAAGAGAAAAGGAAAGAATTCCTGGGTCATCTAATTTGCTGTCAAAAAGTCATCAGTCTATGAACTTTTTATTGGCTGTATAAATACATTTTATAAGTGTTCAGACTACATTTTTTGGGCATAAAGTTTCTTCGTTAATCATTGAATTATTCATTGTTAACCTTTGCCTTATCCCTTGTCTTCTGAATAATCCCATTTCTGACAGTGAACTTCTTAGAGTTTCCATGTGTACCATGATATTTGATAATTCTAGCTTTTGCCTGTTTTGCTTTCCAAATGGCAACTTTCTATCTTCCATTCTTACTTTGGTCAAGGGTTGCTACTACTCAAAACTCAACTCAGGCATAATACATTCTAAGAAGCCTCTGTAACCACCTCCACCTAAATATTGACTATGGATTATATTCTCTTAACTGCATTTTCATGATATTTTCTTGGATATTAATAGGAACACACACATTCAGGGACTAGATAAATCCTTCTAGTAATCAAGTTTCCAAAATAAATGTTGGGATTCACGTTTTCATTTTGTACTCATTTACATAAAAATATTTATAGCACAATAAAATTCAATAATTTTAAAATTTATTCACATACAGATGTTCTGATCACTTTAAAATAAAATTTATACTAGTCTCCTTGATATAGTAAAGATTTTGGCAGCTATAGTCCTCTCTTGGTTATCTTATTTATCTTGATAATCATCATCATACTCTTCATCCTGGCCTTTCATTTGAATTCTGCAGCTTTGATAAATAACTTTCATTTTTTTTTTACCCTTGCAGCACCTGCTGTCTTTGTCATATCCTAGACTTTTACATACTTTTCCTGTGAATCAGTAATTTATGAATTCCATTTTGTCAATACAACATATTCAACTTTCAGCTGTTTCGTTTAATTATTCTTAGTAAATCTCTTCTTTGATATAAGTGGGACCTCCAATCTGTTATACTTCTAGTCTGTCCTCTCCTGAACCTTGTTTTTACTTAACACTCTTCATAAGCAGTTTGGATCCATGACACATCATTCAATTCTCATACTAGCCAAATTCTTAGCACCTGCCACATTCTTCTGTTATCTGTTGGACAAATGTCAAATTTGGATATTTCCTTATCCTTTCATACTTTATATTTGCATGATGATTGCTATTGGAAGAAAATTATAAAATTGGCCAAATAGAACAATAAATTCAAAAGCCCAACACTCCTAACACTGCCTGCCTTAAAAATTTTCCTTACTCCATAATTTTGCTTTTTGATTATTTTGAACATATTCTCTATTGTATTATATTTATAATCATAACCCATGAGAAAACAAGATCTGGTATTAGTGCTCTGAGGAGTTGTTTCCACATACCTGTTGGCTGAATTCTTCACAGATATTTTGTGAATGTTTGCCATGGCAAGTAGAACGGTATTGGGAATATTTTCTGCATACATTAATTGTCACCAGACCAGGGACAGGCTTTCCATATGTGTATCTATAATATTAATGACATCATACAAAATGTATTTAATATAAATGAAACAGATATTTCTTCACCTGATTTGACCTGTCTGTACATCCATCTTTTATGCACCTAAAGCAACGGTTGTACCTTCCATGGCATTTGCACTCCAGGAGCAATAATTCTGAGAGACTGTGTCTTAATTACCTTAGTAGGAATACATTTATGACTTTAAGAGAAATCACTGATTGAATCTTTTTGAAAGATCTCCAAATTCAAAGTTATAAGTTTAGTTTTTCTCAGATCTTTTTTCCTCCCTCCATTGAGGTTTTACTTTAACACTGTCCTGTCTCTCACTTTCTCTGCTGTCTGATTATCTAGGTTATAATTCTAGCTTTGACAACACCTAAGTTGATTTAGGACAAAAAACAAAATAAGGGTGTGAAAAGAATATTATTTCTAAGTTCGTCTGCTGCAGCCTGGCTGGCTGGGCAAAATAGCGGGGGGGAGTGACAGGCAACTTGTGAAGGTTGATACAGCAGGTGTGGGAGCCGCTTTATTACCGGACAGCAAAGGTATATATACACTTAACTAATTATACACAGCTTGTTTCAATCAACATCATCCAGATACAGCAATCCTCATCATCTTAACAATTATACACAGCTCAACTCAATTAACATCATCTTAATGACTGGCTGGCGTTACCCTTCAAACCATTCCTCCTGGCAAAGTGCCAGGTGCCATCTTGACTTGTTTGTGGCTCTCTACATTCGCCATAATTCCTAAGTATTTTAATAGGATAAATGGGAAAGTTAGAGAGAAAGTAGCAGCTACAAATAAAAATGTGATTTATGAACAGTATCATAATGACTTGATTTACTTTTGCCACATATGATGGAAGGATATGATGCAAAGCTCAAATCAATTTATTTTTTTCTTCAAGTGTATTTTATGAACCACCACCATTGAAATTACCTATAATATAGATTGAGATGCCAGATGCTTGAGTATTGCCCCCGGTTTATGGATAGAATCTCTGTAGAGGGGACCAGAGGTGTTCATTTTAATTAAACACCTCCTATAAATTCTCATGTACCCTCAAGTTTGACTTCTGTAGCTTTTTTTGTAGCTGTGAAGTAGGTGAGGCTTAGCTTCAGTGCCCCATTCTTTCCTTTTCTATAGTTTTCTCCTCAAAACTCCTATAATTGCTGATAAATATAAATTGCTGGTAACATGTAGAATTTCAATTAGATCTTGAATCATATGTAGATCTGGATCAAAAGGCTTCCCCTCTGATGAAAATATTTAAAGCATCAAGGCTCTTGAAAGGGATGAAAACATGTTACTCATGCTATTTTCAAAAGCAAGTTGAGGATGCTCTAGTACATTAAGGTAATCAGGGAAGAAATAATTATGATTTGCATTTTTAATTCTATTATGTGTATCTAGGAATTAAAGTACAGCATTAAGGTACACTATTATATCTAAGTTCCAGTCTTCCATCCACTGTTTACCATGATTTAAATATCACAATAATTCAAACAAGTATTTTTGTCCTTTATGTGTTTTGTTTCCCTCATTGTAAATTGAGGATAATAATTACCTCTATTACACAGAGTTAGTATAAGAATAAAAATATGCTTAAAACATTATCTGTCACATTTTAAATGTCCAGTGAATGATGTTATTATTAGTAGAAGTGTCATATACATATATCCCTGCTGCTTAGTATAGGAGAGCTGGGGAGAATTGTTACTCCCTGAATTAAAATCCTTCAAAGTCCAGCAACTTATTTAAAATACATTTCTTACATATAATATGGAGACAACAATGAAATAGCAAATGCAACTCACAAGCCACAGACGGATACCTCAAATTCTTCATCTAGAAAAGGAATAGTCTTGGGCATTTTTACTTGGACCTCAAATTTGGGTAAAACTGTTTTGAATAAAAGAGAAAAAGAGGTGAGAGTGGGCCAGAGATTTAAAAATACTAGTAATGGATTCCATTAGATTCCATTAGGGGAATTTGTAACATAGAATCATGTAATTTGACTTCAATTATAGTAGGGAGCACGGGGGAAAATACTGACAAGAAGTTGGTCATTACCATGGGCACATTGTACTATGTCACCTTGGTTGAGCTAGCACTATATTTCCTAGACTGCTGTTCTCTGAGTTTGCACCCGATTTCAAAGGTAGAAGGAAAATAGTACCATAAGCCTCTGAAGATCATCACAGTAAGATATGGCAGTAGAGGGACAAATAGATTCCAGTGTGTCCTTAGTCTTTCTCTATGTGCAGCTTTTCTTCCTAAATGTTTGCTTTGCTAATTAACAAAATCCCAGGCCATCACCATACCCTCAGCAATGGTTCCACTGAACTAATAACTATGTAGAGGTCACAGCCCTCTCTAGGTCCTTCCATAAGTTCCCCAGCATGGTACACTCTGGCCACTGAAGATGTTTTCTTCCCAGGTCCTTTGCAAATTTGAATCAATCCATCCCCATTAAATGTTCAGGTGTGGTTAGCAATATTCTCTGTCAAGTGATCCTGATAGAATCTTATTTTCTAGTCTCTCCCAGAGTTGTGTAAGAGGTTACTCCTATAATATAACTTTATTTTGTGATTTTCATGGACGTTCTGGTGAGCTTTGGGAATTATTTTTTTTTATAATAAGACCTCTCAGCCATGGCATGAAACATTTATCTTTATTAGAAAATCCACATAATTTGTAACTAATTAGATGGATTCAATGTCTGATGTAGTAATTAGCTGATTGTTAAATTAACTGTTATAGTTTAATTGATTACAGAGTTGAACTATAATTTATTTGAGTACTAAATTACTAGGATTTAGATATCATAGTTGATTATTACAACAAGAATAAATTAGAAAATTATGAGATAATGCCAAGAAATACCTTCAGTTGTAAGACAAATAAATATATTCATGGTGCATGTAATTGACACAATGTATGGGTTAGCAATGAATATCTGAATAATCACTTGTAATTATTGAAATTTCTCTTGTTTCTTATTGGTTTTATGATTTTGATAAATGACTATATTTTTAGTATTTATATGCTCATTTGTAAAGTGAATATAATAATTGTATATGCCTCAGATGACTGTAGAGAGGATGAAATGAGATAATGCATGACAAGTGCTTAGCAAATACTCAAGTGAACAAAAAAACTTGGTAATTTTCAAAGACTGTTTGATAGACCTTGCTTGCTTCCTGTGTAAATATTACAGTGTTATACATGCCTTATTCCTGCATAATTCTTACCATATTCTTTCACTTCAAAGGAGTGCTGTATTATTTTTCTAGACTCTTTCACCAGAATGACTTTGTAGAGACCCAGGAAGGGCTCCACAGACAGTGGGAAGGAGAGTTGGGTAAGTCCCCTTTGCAGATTGATATTTTGCCATTGGAAAATTCGGTTCTTCTTCGGATTCTATAGGTAAAAATATTATGAGTTCATAGAAACAATTGAAATAGATACTTTTGAGTAGAGGGGCAGCTTTTCAGGTAAGAATGACATTGGGTATTAGAGTTAATGGGTTGGCAAATTGGCATTATAACTATTAGCAACATTTTCAGTAGATTTTAGACTGAGAGAAGGAAAATAAGTTTATTAGCTCTGAGGTACTGCAGATGGCATTTCATGACATTTCATACTAGTACCTCTTTTGATATTATTAAATTGAATCATTTCAAGTAATTTTTCTTTCATTTGTATATAACCAACTTTTCCCAAATAATTTAAGGTAGACAGGGAAAATAGTGTTTGTTAGTTTTGTTAAAGTAGTGATTAGAAGGAGAGAGGTAACTAAATGTTACTTGTAGTGAGTCCTCATTCCAACCTACATGCGCAATATATTACCTACCTCAATATAAATGACTGGGAACTGAAATAAAAGAAAGAAAAAGTAGTATAGAGCATGTGATAGAGTTTAGAAAGAGAAAACTGGAAAGTCAACACTGATAAAAGTTTATGGATGGGGGAAGAAAGTATATTTCTTGTCCAAATAGGAAATGTTCCTTGCTTGGTTCATATAACTTTGTATGTTTAGTTTGGTACATAAATCTCTTAAGAATTCATGTCTTTCTTTTTGTGAAATAACATACAATTGAGGAAACTTATTTGGATAAAGATCCAAATAGTAAGTTTATTATTATTTTCAAATGAGATGTGTTTTACAGGATTTTTTTTTTTGTGTGTGTGTGTGTGTGGTACTGGGGATTGAACCCAGGGGCCTTGTGCATGTGAGGCAAGCACTCTACCAACTGTACTATATCCCCAACCTACAGAAGCTTTTTAAAAAGAGAAACCCAATATACTTTTGTCCACCTTAATAAGATTTTTTTTTTTGTGTGTGTGGAAGGATTAAGTATCTCTTACATTGGTTTCTGGTTTTCCAATAGAACCTTAACTTTTGCCTATTTTCCTCAACCCCACCCACAGATATGAGACTTACCGTTTCATTCAATGGGTGAAAATTGATATCCACAGAGACAATGCGGAATCTCACTGAAATACAGAGATTTTTTCCCCATGAAAACCCCAGTGGTAACCCAGGCTAGAAGTCCTATGATTGTTGAATCACATAATCAAAAATATGTACTTTCCCCCAAGGTGGTCTTTGCTCTTTTGGCTCCTTATACCTGTTTGTCCTGGCTTGTATATGGGTTTGTCTGTCTGGACAAAGACCAGGCTCTCTGCTTTCATTATGTACATTGACTTCCTGCTTATGAAATGCTGGGTTGTCCCATTTATCAGCACGGTAATAAACGCTGCAAAAGATGGCAACTCTGGAATCTGCAAAACAGAAATGAGTGAAGAATCTACCCTGACTCAATTCTGAAAGCTTTGGCCTTCATGATTTTCCGTTTTCCTGGTAAGTCCCTGAGAATTAGAAAGGAACAAGGTTAAGGTTTACATTTCTTGTCTTAAAAGTAGATTATTGCAATTTTATAACATGACACTAACAATTCATTGATTTGGTTGACAAGGAAAATATCACTTCAATAAAATGAACTAACTCTTTAATCCAGTCATGTTAGTGAAAGAGGTGACATTTTCTCATTTTCATGGCTATATGGTGGTATTAAAAAATCATTATATTTTATTTTCCAAATGTCAATAACAAATTTATTTTATCATTTGTAGTAAGTTAGTAGGATTAAAGATTTAAAACTTTAAGTGATAAAAGGCTATGTGAAATAAGTCAACAATCAACCACCTGTGAGGTCTTAGATAAGTGTCTTTTGACTTTAAGAATTTCAGTATTTATACCAATAATGTTAAGAGTATATTTACATCGCAAGTGTATTTTAAGATCAAATGAAATCCTATAGCTACTGTTACCTTTCAAATACTGCATTTGATCTGTTTGTGTTGTGTAAGCATATTCAGTACACTTTTATTCTTAGATTCTCATTTGTAACTTACTCCGTACTCTTCATTTTCCTTCATTATGCTGTTTTTTTTTTCTTTTTTAAATTTGAGGGATGAGAACATAAGGTCTCAACTAAACACTTTCTCTAGCCACCTCCCTCATCCCAGTGGTTGATACTAACAATGAAGGGGCTGCAGTGGAAGGAGTTCCTATCTGTCACCAGCTCTGTAAGGAGGTTCCTGCTCTGTGTTCCATACTCCAGATTCACATTCAGTGTCACCGTCTCATTCAGGTGATTCAGGATGACACAGGCCTTTTCAGGAACTCCAGCATAGAGCTGTGATGGGACCAGAACCATGTATTGCCTGTGGAGAAAAGGATCAAACAGAGAGAGGTTCAAAAGATGTCAAAATTATTACTATTTTCTAGAAAATATTCTCTATCATCACCAATCATAGCATAGAGCCAGATTTCAGATTTTAACCAGATTTCATGTTGCTCAAAGGCCAACATAAAAGACCATGGGAATTTAGAAAACATCAAATTAAAATTGCTATGCATCTTTTGAGTTTTAAAAACCTCTACCCTTGGAATATTAGAAAACTATGGGAAAGGAATCTAAGAGTTATCACATATGTTGGATAGAAATTCCAAATTTACATGAATTAATCAACAAGGCACTTTTGAAGGTATTAAGATCCTGTCTGCATGTGATCTTGAGTTCCATGTGACTACCACAAAGCACTTTGTTCCAGAAAAATTCTAGAAAAATAACATTTAACACGTGGGAGACACTAGATTGTTTTTGCTTCAGTTTAAGAAGCAATCTTATTTCTTTCCTTTCTTTCACTCTGTAGTGATGAGAGCTGAACCAATCTAAGCAAGGCTCATCAGCAGACCCAACCAGTTACTCCCAGAAGAAAAGGCCATTCCCCTATAGCCATTTACCTTTCCACTTATAATCACTCAAATATGTACTTCATGATGTTGTATGTTTGCTCACTTTTCTCTTTCTGAGTGTCTTTGTATATCTGGAAAACTTAAATTAGCTTCCTAAGTCTTATCTCAAAAGCAGTTTCTTCTATGCAGAATTTGGGGATGGCCCTTTTCTTACAGCAGGTCCCTTGAAGAGTTAGGGTTTCTTGGCAGTATTCTCCTAAAATCCTGCAGTGTCTGCTCCTGTTTTGGGGTGGCTATATTTCATTTTCTGTATTCCATCTCTCTCCTTTTCTCTTCTCTGAGGTACTGAGGAAAAGATCTAAATTTTTTTAATCTGTGTATTCCCCAAACCTAATGCCAGACATTAAGATTTGCTGAAGGATTAAGTGAATTGACACACAAATCCAATTTCCTGGCTTGTCTGTATGTAGGTCCCTCCATTCATCTTGGCAACCCCTCACATGGGGGAAAACACAGACACAGAGCCACTTCACAATGGCCAGAACACTGCTGTCTGCTTATGAGTAATAAAAAATGTTTCCTTTTTTTTTTTTTTAAAAAAAATAAGAATACTATATTCTTTCATGAATGATTGACAAATATTGCTGCCTCATGTCTAAGTTTTCTAGAATTGTAATATGTCATTCCACATGAGTAATAACAATTTGCTGACTCTCTCAAGTAACAGGAAATTAAAAAAGATCAAGAATGAGATAACACCATGGGAAAGAAGGACAATAGAATTTGGGGGAAATATTACTTACGATTTTGCAGTAGCCAAAGCATCTCTGGGAAGAAGCAGAAACAGTAGAATCAAGACTGGGTTGGGAAATTGACTTCCCCTCATGGTATAGAGAGGAACCAAAGAGAATGAGAGATGAGCTCTTGATTCCTTGAACTCTGATCTTGTTCCTGATTCACTGGTTTTTATTTTACCTGATGGGTAGTGAAGGTTAACTGTCAACCATCTATTTTTGTAACATATTAACTACTTTAGTATAAAAAAATCAATTCTAGATAATTTCCAGGAACATCAATATTGTTCCATCCACATTTTTAAATTTTCCAAATGTTTGACAGATAGTACTTTAAGGCTGCTACTGGTACAGCTTATCAATCAGCACTTTAAATATTTTGGGGAAAAATCAGATGAATTACATGATTTGATGAATAAATCAATATTCTTGACTTTTAAAAAAATATAATAAATGTAAATCTCTATTCCAGATTTTTTCTTGGTTATCCAGAGAGCATCACATTTACTCATTTAAGATTCATCCTCAGTGGTTCCTTTATAAAATAAGGAAATGAAATATGAAATCTGTCACAGAATTCTAAAAAAAAAAAAAAACTTGGAGGCAATTCCTCTAGTTTTTATAAGTTTAACTTTGTTTCAAATACCTATTCTTATATTTGTATTTTTAAACTCATGACACTTTTTTAAGTTGAATTTTTTAAAAAATGCCTTTATTTAATTTATTTATTGAAATACCACAATACTTTTATTTTATTTATTTGTTTTTATGTGTGCTGAGGATCGAACCCAGTGCCTCATGCATTCTAGGCAAGTATTCTACCACTGAGCTATAGCCTCAGCCTTTATATTTGTTTTTTTATAAAGAAAATGATGGTTCATTTGGATATAACCACCCATGTAATACAATTTCTAATTTCACTAAACCTCAAGAATACAAAGCCAATTAATTTATTTTACTCTCCAGGAAGTAAAATTTATTTGTTGAACATTCATGTTTAATTTTACCTAAGTAGAGATATTTTATCAATTGTGAGTCATCTTCCTGTTTGCCTTCCAGATGACATCCGAATGCTGTAATCCATTTGTTACTGAGTTCTCAAACTAAGAAAGATCCTACTATTATATTAATATAAACAGAACATCCCCAAATTGGAGTTTGCATATTTTGAAAAGAGCACTGTTTTAAATTATAAAATATGTAGAGAAACAGGAACTTCTGAGTATGAGGAATATTTTATTGGGCTCTCCTGTAAATTGGAGCCAGGAAAGTCTTAACATATTTTTTTTTCCTGTGGTGCTATAGATGGAACCCAGAGCTCAGCACATGCTAGACAAAATCTACTAGTAAGGTTTATCCCCAGCACCTTGATGTACATTTTAAAATATAATCAGAAAGAGTGACAGAGAAGTGAAGATAATACGCATGAGAACATTTGGTCAACTATGAAACTACAGATATGTAAGATATTAGAATTTTAAGTATTATAATAAGCACAGGTAAAAATTTCCAAGTTAAGTAGATAAACTTTTCTCAGGAATACTTATACTTTCTGGATACACATCAAGTCCAGATTTGGTCTAATGTCAAATGACCAAAGCATATGTTTGAAGTAATGCCAAATGACTAAGTATACAAATCCTTTTGTGAATGGTGAAAAAATCATCTTCATAGTTTGAACTTCTAAAATGAAAGAATTAACCTGGAATATTATCAAATTTTGATTAGAATTTTAATAAACATATTTTAAATATTTGATATTATAATGCAAAAGCAGTACTTTTTCAATATTGTCAACTAATGCTCTTATAATCTTATGATCTTCAAACGTTTTTCTTATATTCTCTGAAAGAATTCCATGAAAATAATTTTGTGTAATCTTTCATGCTTACTTGACCACAAAAATTATCATTATGAGCAAGATGACAAGAGGTGTATTATATAAACTATCATTGAAAAAATAAAAGTGTAACATTTTCTAAATGTATCCAATGAAATGTAAATCTTGCCACAATTTTATACCCAACAGTATCTGTTGAAAACTTAAACTTATCTGACCTCCTTACCTGTTGAACAATTTCTATAATTCTTTTTTTTTAATTCTGTATTTTTATCCTACTTCTGGCAGCCATTTTACTCAAGTATTTCATACTCTATCAGATATTTCTGCAACTAAATATAATAAAAATTATAAAAATGTGTTGTTCATCTGAAGTTCTAAGTAGTAATAAAATATTTCTATATAAAGTTATTTTTGAAATCATCAATTTATTACTTATTAAAATTATATATTATATTTACTTTAGTCCTAAGAAATATTATAAAACAAGAAAATTTTGTTTGAAAATAATTTCTTAATGAAATTAATCAAATATTCCATTTGGCTCTCTCAATGATGTTGAATATTCTTGGATAAATTTTGCTTATTGTATATTGAGACAGGTTTTAATTGTCTATTCTCTTCCTATTTTTTCTAGTCTATTTCTATTTTAGAATACTCCTATTTCCTATTACATTATATTTTCTCTTATGTTTTACAGGAAATAGAAAAATTAAATGTGTTCACTTAAAGTGAGATAGAACTGGGGGAAATTCTAACAATGTCATTTAATCATTTAGGCTTTCAAGTTATAAGCCAAAGTTCACGTTATAATCATCATTAAAAATTAATTTTAATTATGTGTAAGTTGATAAATTAAATATACCTTCACTAATTTTGTTAAAGCAATTGGAAACCATGCCAATTGCAAAAGGATTTGAAAATCCATCTTTAGAATTATTCTTATAGTTAGTTCTTAGAAATATAAAAATTAAAAAGCTTATCAGTACTTATAAATGGCTACCAATTCTTACTTTCTTATTTAAAGACACAATATACTCAAGAATTTGAGGAAATTAAAATATCAACTTAAATATTCTCTTGTCAATCTAGAACTTCATAAAATTCTTTAATTTGATCAAATGCATGATTTACACATTTAGCTCATTATATTTATAGAACATTTCTGACAATAACCTAATTTGCAAAGCCAATACTCATTATCAGAATAATTAAATTCAACTTATTTCTGACAGGAAAATATTCATTCATTTTTAATTCTAACAACTTTAATTTATGTTCTTATGCTACTCTTCCACTTCTCAATTTTATTATAGGGTGAAGATTATTGCTGGATATTTCTTATCTATATGAAGTAAAATATTTCTACTATCTCTTCCCATGCCCTCTTCTTTACTCTTGTGCAACTCTCAGAGGGAATACAAACACTGAAATAGTTGGAGAAGGAAAGAGGTGCTGTTTTTAATTGAAAATTGTCATTTCTGCTATTTGACTTTATAATATATATGTGTAAAGGAAAAGTGGGTAGAAGAAGCCATTTCTAATGTCATGCTTTTTTCATACCAGAAATAGATTTATGTTAAATAGATGCATGAGGCCTAGGATGGGCTGAAGATGCCTTGACTATTAGAGTGTTTATAGATATTAATCTGGAGACTATGCTGCTAAGTGAAATTAGCTGGTTCCAAAAAGCCAAAGGTAGATGTTTTCTCTGATACGTGGAAGCTATCCCACGATAAGGGTAGAGGAAGAATAGAAGCAAGACCCATGGAGTAGACAAAGGGAAATGAAGGGAAAAGGTGAGAAAAGATAGTCGAATTAATCTGATAGAACATTCCTATGTACATATATGAATATACCACAGTGAAGCTCACCATCATGCATGTCCACAAGAAATTAATTTTAAAAATAACAATGAGTGGGTGGTAGAAAGATCAGTAGAGGAAAGGACTAGGGGATGGGGGATGGAAGTGAAAGAGGAGGTACTGGGGGTGCAATTAGAATAAATTATATTCCATGCTTTTATCATTATGTCAAAATGAATTTTACTGTTAGGTATAAACTAAAAGAACTAATAAAAAAGAGTTTATACAATTATCAATGTTTTGAAATGTCTTTTTTGTAAGAGAAATGTAGTAAGTGTTCATTTCAAGATATATCTGAAATGCATATGATAACTGAAACAGAATATTCACATATTTTTTTAAAAAGCCCACAGTTCATGCTATGATTACATTGTCAACAGTATGATAATGGTAATAATTTTTATATAATTATTACTTACAAAAATCACACAATTATTTATCATGCACAATTTCAAAGATTCCAGAAGTGATGTTGAAATTGAGAACAAATCTGCATCTGAATGACAGATTTTAGACAAATATCAAAGTCAAAGATGAATCTCATAGGATTCCACCAACTGTTACAAATTTGTCAAACGTGTTGAATATGAAGACTTTCTCACACCCTCCAAGGCTTTAATGAAAAAGGTAAAATAAAATCAAAGTTACAAATGAATTCTAGCAGCAAGTAGTTACAAAAACAAGAGGAGAATATGTACAAGTGAAAGGGTTGACTTGTAATTGCTGACAATTATATAACAGATCTTTTAAACTATCAAAATAAGACTACTTATAAAAGCTACAAAAGACATCATAACCTTTGGAAAGTTAAACTAATGTCATTTCCAAGAGATCTGTGTTTACAGAGCATTGAGCAACTCGAGGATAAAAAGTGCCCTTATCATCATAGTGTACATTGGGGGAGGTACAGTTAGATTCACTCACATATGTAGAATGAAACTGAAGCTCTTATCAACATGGAAAGGACATTAATAACAATAGTATGTTTGTTTGTTTGTTTTTGGTACTGGGGATTGAAACCAGAAGCATTTTACCACTGAATCACATCCCCATCCATTTTTATATTTTTATTTTGAGAGAGGGACTCGCTAAGTTGCTTAGGGCCTCAGTAAGTTGCTAAGGCTGGCTTTGAACTTACAACTCTCCTGCCTCAGCCTCCTGAGCTGCTGGGATTACAGGAATGCACCACCATTCCTGGATAATAACAATATTTTTAATGGAAAAAGTGGAAATAATTATTGTGATAATTTATCTATCATTATAAATTGCTGAATAATTCTGTGTGTTTTCTCTCTTTGTGAATACTTTGCCTGTTTGAGGGTAGGCTGGAAAAATCAGGGAATAAATAACAGAACATGTTTTCATCCTTCCTGTATATCCCTGCACA